CGGCAAAGCTTTCCGATAACCTCGCATTGGCAGTACCCGCTCCATGAACTTTACATCCTCATGCACTCTAGGCGTACACGGTTTCTAGCAGTGAGAAGAGTTCTGGCGCACCCGGGAAGGAAAGACTCACACATGCATTAAGTTATAATTATGTTTAATTTTTCTCATGGCAGTCCTACCGATGGCGACACCACTGTAGACACCCGCCTCGCGGTTCTACCAATGGCTGCCCCACCGTAGAGCCCCTGCCTCACACATCAAGAAACCACTATGCATGGATACTGCCTCCGCTCAGCTATCTATTCCGCTAGGTCTATACCTATATGAGAAGTGCGGTTGTACGGGGGTCGTTTCATGCTTAACTTCATGGCTCGGTCCTTAATTGACCGGGGACGGTACTAGCCTTTTCCGGATACCACCCAAGTCCTCCGTCCGCCCCAGTCGAAAACAGTTGTTTAATTTTATTTCTCCTTTCACAAATCATGTCATCAACATCATGGCAATGTGGCGCTCATGTCTCCACATGCCGCATCTCAATTACCTTCCCAAAGGTAATTGCCCAAGCATATAGCATTTGACAAATATGAGTATGCATGATTCTAGAGTGGCATCTCTAAGCATTTGTCATAATTGACTAAGGACTCATACGTAATCATGGTTACAAGGGAATAAGGGTAAACAATAATCAAGGTATGGCATATTTACAAATAGGATGTTCATCATTGCATGCAATCTTATTTGTAAATAAAAATAATTTCGCAATTGGGATCAACATGTTCAAGGGATAGTGATGACTTGCCTTGCTCAAAGTCTTGCGGGTCTTGACCTTCGCTTGGATCCACAACTCCCTCGGGCTCTAAAATTACGTGCGAAGAAACGATTTGAATTCGGTTAGAATTCAAATAAAGATCCAAGTAAATCCAAGAAGATATCGAGCGCGGAAGTCGGTTTCTTACATTATCTATTTTTGTTCGTGAAATAGAGCTAATCCGATCTTAATTTATCCATCCTAAACTATTTCGTGGTATAAGTATTTTATCAGCACAAGTTTTTAATTTAATTAGCCCGAGTATTACATCCATTTAATAGGTTAGAAATTTCCATCGCGGGCTAAATATCGGACAAAATCCTAAAATTATCTTATAATATTGTACGATTTAATTTAGTCTATGACTAAACGATTAAATATAATATACGTCTAAAATCCCTAGTAATTAAATCCGAATTTCTACCGTGAATCGATTACTTATAGAGATTACCCAAAAATAATCTATAATAATCTATAAGAATTCATCTAATTGTTTAGTTATTAATTACATCTAAATTACTACCGCGAATTGATTTCTTATAGAAATTACCAAGAATAATCTATAATTTATATTAAATTTTACAATTCTACGACTATAATTAATCTATAATTAAATTCTAATTATTTTAAATTTTCTAAACCTCCTTAACCTCTCCCTAATCTTATATTTTTTTATATATATCTTCTTTTCTTTTCTTTTCTCTCTTCTTTTCTTTTCTTTTTTTTTCTTTTCTTCCTTTCTCTCCTTTTTCTTTCTTTCTTCTTTTCTCTTTTCTCTCTCCCGGCTCCTTTCTCTCTTCCTCTCTTCTTTTCTCTCTCTCTCCCTCCCAGCTTCGTTCTCCCTCCCTCTCTCTCGGCTTTTTGCCCTCTCGGCGGCGACGGTGGTGGACGCAGGGGGGGGGGGTGGAAAGGCGGCGGCTCACCGTCAGCGGCGGCGGCGCAAGTCGCGGCACGGCGCGGCGGCACGACAACGGCGGCGTGTGGAGAAGGGGGGGAGGGAGAGGAGGAGGGAATGGAGTGGGGTGGAGGAGGGGGAAGGGGCCGGGGTTTTTATAGGGGAGAGAGGGGGAAAAGAGAGAGAAGGAGGGGAAGAGGTGAAGCGACGGCGGCGTGGCGGCGCGAGGCACGAGGCGGCGAGGAGACAGGTGCGCGGCGACGGGACGGGCGACGCGACGGCGGGGCGGGCTCGAGGCGACGGCGGCACGGCAGTGGGATGGCGACGGCGACGGCGCAGCAGCGGCGGCGCGTGGCTCGGAGTGACGATGGGACGCGATGGCGACGGCGCACGGCAGCGGCGCGGGGCGCGAGGCGGCAGGCTCGCGTCACGGCGACGGGACGGGCGAGCGGCGTGCGGGCGCGAGGCGCGAGGCGACGTGACGGCGGCACGGCGCGACAGCGGCGATGGCGACGGCGCACGGCGCGGCGGCGGCGACAAGACGCGATGGCGATGGCGCAACGGCGATGGCGCAACGGCGATGGCGCAACGGCGACGGCGGTGCGGCGGCACGAGGCTCGGGGTGGCCGGGCGCGCGGCGCGCGGGCGCGACGGCGACGGGGCAGAGGGGGCGGGGCGCAGGCGCGAGGCAGAGGAGGGGGCTGGGCTAGGGGACCACATCAAACACCTAGGGGCTAATGAATAGTGTCTTTTTCCTATTTCTCTCATTTTAGTCTATTTCTTATATAAATTTGGTTCCACAATTTCTAATTTTTGCATATATGAATTTTTCTCAATATTTGTGTTATCTCAACTAATGAATTCACCCTAGATTAATATTACTCATATTTTATTTATATAATTTATTTGAATTTTTAATTAGGGTTAATCCTTATTCCATCGCATTTAAATTTAATTGATACAAATATGATCGCGATAATATTTTATTTATTTCTATCCACACCTAATCTTTATTTTAAATTATATTTATTTTACCAATTTACTTCTAGGTTTTATTCCTAATTAACTATTCTTTACTCACGATTAATGAACTTTGAAATCAAATCCAAATAAAATAGGCGATTAAGATCGGCATGATGCAATTAATTTAAAATTTTTCGAAGGCCCATATTTTTAGAGTTTTGTTTTTATTGGTCAAATTTTCAGGGTGTTACAGAGCTTTTATGGTCTTCACGCTAGTAGTAGAGACTCGAGACTCCATTACCTCCATGCTAGACTCGCCTTTGTTTAGGAGAGTCGGAGATTCTACAAAAGGTTGCTGTTGATAGAAGCTTCCCAAACATAGCCATTAGCATATACAGTACAGTACTACAGTGACTCAAGCTAGCTTAAGTCGCGTCTAGCACTAAAACTATATTATGATCCAAAAGCTCGAAAGGTTTAGTTCCACCATCCTATAGCTACCCTCGTAACAACGCTCTAAAATTCTCCCTAGAATGGTCCAAAGCCCATTGCCACTGACGGCGACGACGATCGATCGATCGACGACCGTCCCATTAACGACTCCCTCGCACTTACCGTGCCGGCCGGTAAGACTGCCTCTCGCCCCCACGCTGCACCCATATCCGTCAAAGTTAGCCAGCATGATTGGCTGCACTACTACAAGAGATATCTCCCTGCAAACACACAGCCCGGGGGTGGACTGGTCGCTCTCTTCGGCCTCAAGTGGCTTTGGCAGTTGGCATGGCATGGCAGCATTTGACTAACAGCGACTTAGCCCTCGAAAAGCACCGCCCCGCGCGAGAGAAAAGAGAGAAAAAAAAAACGGCCGGGACGCCGTGTGATCCTAGCGTTTTCTCAGTGCGATCGATCGATACGTTCGCTGGTAGTAGTAGTTGTAGGGTTCCTAATTTTTTTTAAAAAAACATCACGTCGAATCTTTGACACATGTATGTAGCATTAAATATAGATAAAAAAAATAATTGTACAATTTACATGGAAATCGAGAAACGAATTTTATTAGCCTAATTAATCCATAATTAGCCTATACAGTAATCCATATGTGCTAATGATGGTTTAATTAGGCTCAGAAGATTCGTCTCGCGGTTTTCAGACGAGTTATGAAATTAGTTTTTTATCTGTGTCTGAAAACCTCTTCCGACATCCGGTCAAATATCCGATGTGATATCTAAAAATTTTCTTTTAGCAAACTCAACAGGGCGGTGGTAGTAGCCGGGGGCGGGTCCCTTGCGGCGAGAGGGGGAGGAGGAAGAGGAGATAATGCACGTACTCATCGAGCTAGATAACAAGATCTCGAGAAAGCGAGAGGGCGACGGGGGCATGCATGCGAGTGACACCATTCGGCACCGAGCGCGAGAGAGCCCTTGTTATTATTAGCAGTTGACGGCGGCCGCGGCGAGCGCTTTTTTCTGGGATCTCTCTTTGCACTGTCCAAAGCTCTGGAGTTTAGCCGAATCGATCAGGGGAGATGGTGTGTGTGTCCCGGGTGATTAATCAATCAATCCCTCCTGGCGTAAAGGCCACGTAGTTTCAGACTCAGTCCAGTGAGTGAGGTCAGGTGACAGTGATGAGCCTAGCTAGGGTGTGCTTGGTCGTGTAGCATCTCATCTCCTGATTGACCTGGTAACACACACGCAGAGAGCTGGATTGGGTTCAGATAAACTCGAGAGACTTTTTTTTTGTTTTGGTAGTACTAACCTGACAGGCTGCGATAGGCTCGTCAGAGGATGTGTGCTCCCAGAATCGCTCCCGAGATCTTCTCCTCCCCCCAATCAGCTGTCGACTGATGTTGGCCGTACGCACCATCACACCGCACACGCATCGATCGCTGTTGATGTTTATCAGATTGCTGTTCACCGGTAAGCTACTAAAAACGAAAAGAAGTTGGAAACAGCTCAGTGCTGGTGCTGGTGTGACATGTTTCGAGATGCGCCTTTGCTTGCAATGCCCACTCTTGACGAACTGAACCGGACAGAGTGGTCAAGTTCGGAGACTGGCAGAAAGGGGAGCAAAAGGAGCCGATGGCTCGTAGCTGGGGCCTTGTTTTTCCTTTTTTCTTTTTCCCTGAAGTGGAGTAGGGATGATGAAATCTTTCAAAGCTCTCTGGACTTGTGGAGTTCGGATACCCTTGCACTGAATGTCTGAAAAATAGGATTCACGCGGCGAATCATCCTGTAATCTTTCTGCATAATTCGTAGAGGTCAAAGATACAGCTCTAGTGACTAGTGAAAGGTAAGATCTTACCAACCAATGCAAAAATGAAAGGTAGGAGTAAAATTCACAATACTAAATTTGAGTGTCTTAGCGCGCCACGGAAAACAGGAAATCAATACAATGTGTCCATGCTATACGGTAAAAGGGAAACGGTACATTTCTATAGATTTTCCCTGTACAGAACAAAATGGGTGAAAATTGAAATCATGTTTCATAAGCACTGGAGAAAGCCCAAAGAAAAACAATCAGCATTTCTCAGGAGTCTGAATAATGACAGCAGGAAATAAATGGAAGAAAAAAAAGTAGTGTATTTTGTCTTCTCTCTGCATGCTTCTATATTATTAGCTGTGAAGCTTATAGTACCTCCATGACTGTTCCCTACAGATACCTCCTTGCGAGAGCCCTGACCTTGGTATCAAAATGAGAGGATGTGATGCGAGATCCAGGCAGATAGAGGGGATTGAGGAATATCTGCACAACGAACATTTCTAATGAAAATTATGTAACGAAAGCAATGATTATAGGTTTATTCTCAGAATCTATTGTGGACAGCAGAAACTACAAAACTCTGTGTCAGCCAACAACTATTTTGGATACTATGCCCATACATAGAACATGCTACACCCTAATATCATGTATGTTTGAGAATTGGCATATGAACGTATAACTGATTCAACATATTTAGATATGAAATGCACTGACAGGATCCTTGTTATTCATAACTTTTTAGCAAACTACTTTATTGTAAAGGACACAAAATTGCCTTACCTTGATATAAAGCTCATGGACCTCTTGAAAAAAGCTTTTAATTCCATCCTCACTACGTGAATCATGAAGCAACATGAATCTAGCATGTGTCATCAAGTTAAAGAAAACAATATTGTTGTACAGGTAAAACTTAACAAGTTTCACATAGTCAGTCAAGTTACACAACAACAACAAATCGTTTCAAAGGATATGACCTGCAGTTACATAAACAGACACAACAAGGTCGTTGAATCTGTCGACCGACTTCAGGAACCTGAATAAAATATGTAGAGGAATTATGCAAGGGAAATATATATAAAAGTTTTCGAAAGGCATCTTTGGCCTGTCGTATCTTGTATGTATCCTACAACCAAATTACAATACACATGTTCAGGTGTACCTGACGGAAAAAAAAACATGTATAAGCAATAAATACTCACATTGCATTTGTGGACCATGCTAGGTCCTGAACAACATCTAAAGCAGCATGCAGAATGAACTGGTGCTGATAAGCCAGATCTTCTTTCTGCCACAGTAAGTGAATGTCAGAAGATTAGACATGCACATTAGTAATTCAGTATGATGTTACCTAAGGAAAAAAATTCTCATCCCATGAAGGCTCCATTATATTACTGAATATCAATTAGCAACTTTACACTATTACATATGAATCAATATCCTAGAAAACAATGGAGACAAGGGAGGGAGGAAAACAATGGCAACAACAAAAATCACTACGCTGTAGAAAGGTAGCAAACCATCTATATCCAGTTTTATACAAAACTCAACTATTCCATTGGGCATCTTCATGGGAATCAAGAGTCTGATTCAACATGATTTATGTTCAACCAACACCTGTTTCTTTCTTTCTTTTTGAGAGAGGGGATTATCCATTTCCATATTAGTGTCGCTTTTATATCAACAAAACCAAAATGTTGACATTGTGACCTGAACACAAGGCACTATAAACAGCAACATAATGCAATTAATTAAATTCATAGAAGTAATGAGGCGTGGAATACATACTTTCGGTGCAGATCCGACTTCTGCCTCATAGATTGGGATGTCGTTCTTACTAACAATCGCGAAGCACGCCGTGCTTGCCATTTCCACCAACACTTGGACTAGTTACTCTCCAACTGCAATTGAACACAAATATTGGTTTGATGTTGCTCATTTAACCCCATTTCCACATTAGATCACTCCACAAAATTATTCCTGGGTCAAGGGCCAAGCTGAACTAGCCAATGTGCTGTATTCATGCTACTATCGGCATTTACTCTCGCCCATTTTGGATTCACATTAGATCTGGCCCCTAAACTACAATCCCCTTTCACCCTCCTTAGGCATCACTAGATCTAGCAGCTTAGCTTGCTTCCTCCTATAACCCCCCATGAGCCTCCCCAAGCATGGTTCCTTCTTCCTTGGCCTCTTCCTAATGACAAGCCCTTGCGCCAGCACTCCAACGACGTGTGCATAACGAAAACTCCAATTCTACCTTCTTACCACGGCTTGATGCTACTCACAAACAGCAAAATCGCCCAAAACTAAAAAAAAGTTCCATGAGATGGGGAAGGGAAAGCAGGAGGAGCTCACCGTGGGAGGGGGCGATTCACGGCGTTGGAAAGTTCGCCGGATCCGCCCGCGGCCGCCTTCGTGCTCGGATCTCGGGTGAGAGATCAGAGCCAAGGGGGAGAGGAGAGAGATCGGAGAGACTCGCGTAGTCTCGCACTCTCTTCGACTCTTCCTCCTTTCGGGCTACTGGGCTGGGCCGGCGAGTTTGCGCAGCCTGCCTCGTACGTAGGCCTGGCCCAAAATGCCCAGCCTAGCCTGAAACCAACCGCAACGAACGCCGAGGCGAGACTCTCTCCGGCGAGGGAGTTGTACTGCGCCGCCGCTGCACCGCACCTCGTCAGTCGACTCCGGGAAACTGCTCCCGAGCCCCAGCGCCAAGGCCTACCGGAGCGCCTCCGGTGAGGTCGTGACGAGCTCAGGGTTCGTTTGGTGGTAAGCTCTGTGCTCCCGGGGCGCGCGGGGCTGGATCTGGAGCGGGGTTTCGCAGCGCAGCGGGGAGGAGCCAGTACGGGTGGGGGATGGGGAGGCTGACCGTCGCCGCGGCAGTGGCCGCATGGGCGATCCCGCTCGCTGCTCTGGTCGCCTCCATCGTGCCCGACCCTTACATGGTGAGCGTTTTTTCTCCTCCTCCACGAGTGCTTGGCTAGTGCAGTTTCAGGGGTAGATCTGCATAATGTCTTACTTGATTTCCATGTAGTCCAGAATGAATTGGAAGAAACCGCATATGAAACTTATGAACTAGACTCTTGGATCTGAAATTGCAACTAGGCTATCGCCTGATGTGTGTCTATAAAAGTATCAGGTAGAGCATTTGAATAATTCTTTTCATGTGGAGAGAACATTAGTATCTGGTTTGTAGTAATGAGTTTGATGAGTTCTCTACTGTCCAGGAAATGGACTTCTCTGGAAGTTATAAAATTTGGCAAGCAGGCGTGTTGAATTTCTTGAGCATTTTCAATTTCCCTGTATTGCTTTCGAGTTACTCTACTAAATTTGCACTTATTGTCACATCTTGCCACATTCTCATTGGAAATGTAGGCAGCATTTGGAAGCACGACAAAAAAGCATTCATTACCCTTCTTAACTCATTTCTTTGTGTTTAGGATGAGATCTTCCATGTTCCCCAGGTGCAGCGCTATTGCCGTGGAGATTTCTTAATATGGGATCCCATGATCACCACCCCTCCTGGCCTGTGAGTCTCAAAACTCCTCATTACTTCACCCTCAAATTTTACCTTGTGATGAGGGATTGTTCTCTGCAATTTTATAGGTACTACATTTCACTAGCATATGTTGCTTCCTTGTTTCCTGGTGCATGGGTGACTAGAATAGCAGAGGCATTTGATGCCCTTTGCACTACAGCACTTCTGAGATCCACTAATGTTATCATGGCGATGATCTGTGGTGTTCTAGTCCATGACCTGCTTTTGTGCATCAGGCCAAAAATTGGCAAGAGGAAGGCAACTGCATTTGCTATTTTAGTAGCTTTGTACCCTATTCATTGGTTCTTTACTTTCCTTTATTATACTGATGTTGCATCATTAGCGGCAGTTCTTGCGATGTACCTTTTCTGCTTGAAGAAACAATTTTGGGTCAGTGCAGCGGTGAGTATTTAAATTAAGTGTTCTATTGTTTATTTGTTTTGTTCACAACTTCACATCTTAAGTTTTTTTTTAGATTGTAGAAAGTCGTACATTCATAACTGTTTTCCACAGCATACTTGTTGGTGGTTCTTCTAGTTCCAGAATTGATATAATTTTGGAGAAGAAAACAACTCTTTATAGCTGTTGTATGTATTCTTTCATGTAAATATGTAATCTTGATCTTGAGGTTTTCTATGGGTCCTTCCATACTTCTTGGCATGAGTTAAGATATGGTATTGATTTTCATCACAAATCTGTTAGCAATATTAATTAAATGCTTCCTTTTGCCTGCAGTTTGGTGCTTTTTCTATACTTCTCCGGCAGACTAATGTAATATGGATGATATTTTTTGCTGCCAATGGAGCCATCGCTCATGCACAATATCTTTATGTCAAGGACAATGTTTGTTACGAGAACAGTGAACTAACAGATAAGTCAAACAAAGAGGCATCTCACATGGATAATAAAACCACTGCTCCAGGTTTGAGAAGGCGGCGAAACAATAATCCCATAAACAAGAGAGAAGTTGTTTCTGAATCAAACATTATGTATTCCAGTGAGTATTCCAACTCTGTCAATTAAAAAGATGCATTTATATTTCTCCAACCATTTGGATTTCATGTTTGAGATTCAGTAGGTTGCATGCTTAACTTCGTTTTGACATTTTTATTATGCTTTGGTCTAAACATTATTTGTTATTCACTGGTAATTTCTTTATTTATATTGCTAGAACACTAGCTGTAGTTCTTTATCAATCATATGAATTCATTCTGAATGCGATGAAATATTATTTTGGAAAAAGAGGTGGAAATTAAACGCATCCATATGATCTCAAATTTCGTGTCCAATGATTTTGTTGCCATATCTGATGTCTGTTGGTAATTTGCAGGTTTTACAGAGGAAATATGGGATGCCATCTTCAAGTTATGGAATTCAAAGTGTGAAGTTTTAATTGCTTTTATACCATTTGCAATGGTTCTTTTGGTGTTTGTGGCATTCATAGTCTGGAATGGTGGCATAGTGCTAGGTATATTTCTTATTTTTGTCAGCTCCTTTCAACCTTTGTACGCTGGCAGCTTACAGAATGATCTACAAAAAGCTTCATACACCCTTGTGCTCTGAGTGATGCAGGTGCTAAGGAAGCTCATGTTGTTTCACCACACTTTGCACAGTTTTTGTACTTTGGTCTAGTGTCAGCTGCTGCCCTCCTGCCATGGCATTTTACTCCTACCCGAGCATCAGACCTATTCCACTGGTGCAGAAAGAACAAAACATATAGTTCTTTTGCAATTTTGGTGGCTCTTGGTTTAAGCCTTGTTGCTGTACATTTATTCAGGTTTGTTATCTCTTTCCCTCTTCTGTGTTATTTTTCTCCCAGAAACTGCTAAAAGTACTTCCTGCTGAACATTTAGGTGCATCTTCCAATGCTGACTCATACTTCGTTAAAAACAACACTGAATCTAACTGGAGAGTAACAGCTTATGTACAATTTTATAATGCTTGAAATTTTGGTGTGGAAGCATGTTTGTCAAACATATTTCTCAAATTCCTTGACTGCACTTTCTTGTTGTTCTTAAAGCATGATGTACTTTGCCTTCTTATGTTTACCAACTCCTAATATGTACCCCTTTTCTTGTGCAGCATTGCTCATCCATATCTTCTTGCTGACAATAGACACTACACCTTTTATATTTGGAGGAAGGTTATCCAAGTTCACTGGATGATGAAATACATTTTGACTCCAGTTTATGTGTACTCATGGTTTTCAATTGTTAATATCTTAGGTAAACTTCTCTATATAAATTTTGTAGAAGTTGCTACTTTAAAGAGTATATATGAACTGATATTTATTGGATTTTTTTGTTTCATCTTACAGGGAAGTCACAGACAAGACTTTGGGTGCTGTCCTTTGTTCTATCAGTTGCCCTTGCTCTCATCCCTGCCCCATTGGTTGAATTTAGATACTATACAATTCCATTGGTCATACTGGTTCTTCATTCTCCAGTGATCAGCAATGTTAAATTGCTTGCTTTGGGGTTTCTTTATGCCGCTGTTGACTTCTTCACTCTGGCAATGTTTCTGTTCAGACCTTTCCAGTGGCAACATGAGCCTGGGACACAAAGGTTTATTTGGTAGTTTAGGATACAGAATTAGAGAGGAGGCAAATTCCGGTGTACAAATTCCCTAGAGCATGAACCGCTAGCAGGGTTTATATATATGAGGGTGAATCCCTCGGAGAAATTTTAGACTTGAGAGCTTTGTCTGTACACTAGGATGTCTTGCGAAGCTTTATGCAATTGAACGTTTAAGCCAGATGGTTCCTTGTAAGTTACCACCGTTTCAATGAATGTACTACTTTCTGAAGTTTATCCATGACCACCACCTTTAACGATGTTTTTCCACTTGTATGCTGCTGTAATATTTCCATTTTAGCAGGAGCAAACTAAAATATTCAGAGGAATGAATGGATGGAAGAGCTTGTTGGATGAAGGAAGAATCTGGCGTCCAATGCGGCTGTGTTTAGTTTCTGAAATTGGGGAGAAGTTTGGGGAAAGTTGGTAGTTTGGAAAAAAAGTTGGGAGTTTATATAAGTAGGAAAGTTTCGGATGTGATGTGATGTGATGGAAAGTTAGGAGTTTGGGGGAAGTTTTGTGTCAACTAAACAGGGGAATTTGTTAAATCCAGAACTGAGAACAGCCTTTTATTGTCAGGGATAGTCAGCAATGTAAGACAGTGCCATCAACTTTCGGCGAATAGGTCCACAGGTGAGATCCTCATCACTGTTGGAAATCCTGGTTGTTATTATGCCTTGACTCATCCCTGATTTTTTTTTTGGCACTAGAGCAATTTCCTTCAATTGGCCAGTTTTTCAAGCATGCATGAGAATGCCTATTCATGGACTGTGTGAAGCCGTGTTAGGGAAACTGAACTGGGAATGCCTGTCCAGGCTTCATCCAATATATAGAACGTGATAGATTTGTCAAACTTTGTACGAAAATAGTTTGGGTGCAGCATAAAAAATGCTTATGCACTACAAAAATGCGGTATATCTCTCAATACATCTTCAAGGACTGTAAAAGGTTGAAAATAATGTTTTTAAAAAATCACAATTAATGCACATCCATTGCCTTAAGATCTGGTTACAGCACACGAATACAACATAGCATCCCAAAAGCCATAATTACACTTAAAAACACCTCACATCATGAGCAACACTGAACATGACAAAAAGATCAGCTGTACCACTAGGAGGACCAGCAAAATATACACAAGAACGGAAAGCTGTATCAAGAACTGTTGAGTGTTGAAAGGCTTCAAAACAAGACCATTCACACTTCCTTGAGACACAAATTACTGAAAGCTTGGATAGAGCAAAAAGGCTATATGGGGAAAACTTCGATTCACATGTCGGTGTACATCATATTGATCTTTTAAACATGCAAGTCCATGTACAGCGCATATAATAATCCTGCAACCATGTATAGATTTTAGTTGTCCCGATTCGCAAAACTGAACTTGTTTTTGTGGATCTTTGCTGGACACTGGTGAGTTCACCAAATGCTCTCTCGAGTAAAAGCAGAAGCTAGGATCAGATGGTTTACAGAGCCATTTCTGCTCTGCGTTGGGTTTTTGCATAATCCCTTCTTATCTTCCACAGCCTCTCTGCAACTTCTTTCATTGTTGGCCTGTCAGCACGAGTAGGAGCAACACATTGGAATGCTACATCGAAAATCTTATTCAGTATATCCTCATTTACTGACTCGGTCAACATTGGATCCAATATTTCCTTAACATCACCTCTGTTGTATTTCTCGAAGGCCTGTATCAAAATTAGAAAACAATAGAGAGCCTCAGATGCCTTAAATTCTGACAAAACCCATGACCAAACAGCTTAACTGCTATAGAAAATGAATCAAGCTTATTATTGTTTTCTTCCCAGGTAAATGAAAATGTTGAGTGTTTAAGAAAATATTATATTTTTGTTATGTTTGTGCATGCACACTGGAAGTTTACATGTTGTATGGTTTAACTTGTGATGGGATTGCAAATTGTCGACAAAGAAAATGAATTCATGTGCAGATAACTGCTCGAGAAAGAAAAGCAAGAGCGTATGCAGGGGCAAGAGGGGTCAGGGGGGCAAGAAAATAACCAGAACAAAGGTAAATTGCTCCTAAATAGTTATCTAGAAAAAACAATGGAAAGAAACAAAAGTCTAAACCAATGTAAACACAAAGTAGGGAAGTGAAGACATACCCATCTCACGGTGATCCTTTCTCTTGCAGCTCTCCTGACCTCAATAGGACGACGACCAGAAAGAATTTCCAGGAGCAAAACTCCATAAGAGAATACATCACTCTTGACTGTCAGATGGTTTGTCCTGAGATACTCTGGATCTACATAGCCAGCTGTTCCTCTCACATCAGTCTGAATCTGTGACTGGTCTGGCTCTGTAGGACCAGTCCTTGCAAATCCAAAGTCGGCCACTTTGGCCCTGAAGCCTTCATTTAGTAGAATGTTTGATGACTTCACATCCCTGTGTATTATGGGCTTCTCTAAAAGCATAAAAGTACAGAACAAATAAATAAAATACATATGCAAATTGCCAATAGGAATAGTCAAACTAGAATCTCTGTAAGCTACTTTAAAGCTTGAAGATCAAAGAATTAAAATCAGATACACATCTGATTACATGGCTAATTTTCATGGTTTATTCAACTTGGTTGTTAGGCTCATTTCACAACCTTTATTGATGCACAGCCACAAACAATTTCCGAACTACAGAACATTACAGTCAGGATATCTGATACTAGCATTTATTAGCAGATTATGAGCCAATGGACCAACCTTTAGAGGGGGAAAATATAGTTAAAATACTGGTTTACAGTTCTTGCATTACTTAGTGACAATACCCCGATGCATGACTTGGTATAAAAATAAAAATAAAAATAACAGTCAGTTGTTTTTTTAAACTGTTTTTATGCTCAGCAACAGAAACATGTGACAAAGCATACCTGCATATAGATGCAAATAAGTTAACCCATGAGCAACATCTATAGCTATTTCAAGCCGCTGATTAAAGCTTAAAACAAGCCCACGTTGACCTGAAAGATAATTTGAAAATTACTGATTGTTCTATATGGAATTCAACAAAAGAGAATCTTAGTATGCAGTTTACCATCTAGATGCTCCCTAAGAGTGCCGTTTGGAACATACTCAGTTATGACGATTCGTTCATTTCTTTTGTCGATATAACCAAGTAATTGGACCAAATTCCTGTGTTCAATTTTTTTTAGTAATGCAATTTCATTACTGAATTCGGCCCGTAAAGAGGCAAAATGTTCCTGCATAAAGAAACCGGATGAAAACTGCGATTCACTTGTAAGAAAAATCACATGTAGGAAGCAGAGTTTCTATCAGCAACTTTAATACTTTATCAGGACCTTTTGAATAAATATAAATTGCAAAAGAAATTTGACTAGTGACCAACAAGATCAAGCGGTGAAAAACACCAAATTATAATAACTATCCACAACTACTGGTGCAAAGAATGCAATGTGAGTACATGCTTTACCAGTGCATTACTGTTTCATTACCGTACTGATCTACACAAAAATGGATCAACCAGCGAGACTACTTGAAAAAAAACACCTCAGTCATTCTAAATAGAGAAATCTCTAGTATAGCTGCTTGTTGACAGCCACTATCATTGCGCCAACACTGCTTTTTATTAAAAAAATAAAAATAAAAAATAAAACCTACCATTTTTGCCCTTTTAATTGCCACAATGTGGCCATCTCGCAGCTGTGCTCTGTAGACCTTTCCAAAATAACCTTCACCAATCATCAGGTCTGGTGCAAAGTTATGTGTCAGTTTAATAACTTGTTCAAGACTCAGGTTCAATGGCTCATTTCTACTTGGTGATGAAGACAATGAAAATCTAGATGGACTTGCAGGTACTCGAAGAGGGCTTGGAGGAACTCTATCAGACATTGACCTCAGCTCAGAAGAATTCACTGGAAAAACAAGGATGAAGGAATGTGTCACAATTCATGATGGTCATTTATACTTCCAAACGTGACATCTACATTGTTTCATTGTGTTAACAGATTAGATCACCAATAGATGAAAGCTTGCTATTTAACTTACAGGAATTTCCATCCCTTCCAAGAACAGGGTCTTCGCTCCCATCCTTCCTTCTTGAACCAAAACAGGGGCACATGGCTTCAAAACACACAAGAAACATCCCTGTAGGTTTAGTGGCTACCAGAATGCTATCTGATTTCAGTTTGCCAACAAAGAAGTGTGGTGCGCCTCATTTGGATGAGATGTCTTAAATTAGCATAGTGTCCTTAGCCCTTTTACTCTGACAAGTGCAATCCAAACTGCAAAAAGATCGAAGCATTCAGTTTAGCATTTTGGAAAGAATGCCACTAAAAGATATACGAGGAGCGATAACATGAGTCCACGGTAGTACATTAGTACAAAATGAATAGCAGAAATAGACATATTTGTCACCAAAATATGCACCGATCAATCAAGAAAGGAGAACTCTCAGCTTCTCCACGTGTAATCAGAAGATTCATAATGAGTGGAACAACAATTTACCATCTAGTAGAAGAATAATTCGGTTCTAGACATCCATGCTATTTTGCAATATTAGTTACACTTTGTATGAATGAATTATCTCCCAAACCATAGGTAGACTTCCTTTTGGCGTATGCCTTGCACAATGCATTTTAAGTGCCAGTCTTTGACCTCTACATATTTATAGCGAGTATCTTGTTGAGCAACTGAGCAATGCATGCAACAAGAATGCAGATTACAAAAGCAAAATCGTGCTATGTAGTACGCATAGCACTCCTACTACACACATCACCACCGATAAGGTCCCAATTAATGAACTTGTTGAACAACCAAATCATTATAACATAGACGAACACATGTGTACAGAAAGCAGGCAAAGAAATGAGTTGACTGAGAGTTGACTTTGAGCTATCCCGCAAATGGAGAACAGCACCAAACGAGGTATTCCCCTCTTCCCCTCGCTATTATAGCAAAATTAGAGCTTCAGAAAGTCTAACACGCAATCTTAACGCGAGGTGACTGTCCATTATAGAAAAATGCATACAAGACGGCACAGGGTAACCATCAAGAAAGCTAGTACTACCACAGAGGCTCCCATGGCGATGTCCCAAGAACACAACGGTAGAATCATCTGCGATCGGTGATGCGACAAACCTCCTACGGTTTGCCATCCACACCATCAAGCAAGAAAACCATCCTTGTTTTAGATGAAGCAATCTAACCGCGTAAACAAGCAATAACGATTACACCAAACCACCACAGAAACACCACGCGTCAGGATAGAGCTCCAAGAAAGCAAAAGGACTCACCGGAGAAGAATCTCTCGAGCTTAGCGCCGGACCCCCGCCGCGGCCGAATGCTTCTTGCTCCTCAGAATCCCCCCGAAAATCCCCCAGGGACGAAGAAATGGTAAAGCGAAAAAAAAATATTCCTCTCAAGAAAAAAAAAGAAGGTATATTAAGTCTCTTCGATTTGATCGGATCTTTAGCCTTTAGGTGGGCGGCTGCTGCGCGCTCCGGTCACGGAAACCGTGTGCTGCTGGTAGTAGTAGTAGAGTAGGGCAAGAGAGAAGAGAGAGAGGCAGCGGAGACCGACGACCGGGACGCCGAGAGGCGAGGCGACTGGTAAACGACGACGCCGACGAGCTGAATATATTTTATACTAGTATATCGTTGGCGCCACCGGCCTCTGCTGGCAGGTGGGCTCGGGGGCCCACGCGTCAGCGGCGGTGCGGGTGGGTTGGTGAGGAGGATGTGTGTGCGTGAGCCGCTGCTCGGGTGGGGGGCGGCGGGGCGGAGGTTTGACCGGCGGCGGAGGGAGGGAGGGAGGGTTGCGTTGCGTGGCGGCGAATCGACCGCCGGAGACCGCGCCGTCCGGGTCAGCGGCAGCGCCTACAGTCTTCAGAAAGATGATCGGGACCGGACCATATGGGGGAGATTTCCGTTCAGGTGCTCTGCACTACTCATCAGTCATCACCTAGAAAAGCGTGAAAAATGGGAAATTTCATCGTTTTTGTTTTCCTCTGAAAGTTATTGGGAAATTCTTCAACAAATAATGGCATGGAGGTTCTTGTCTTCTTAAGCCCCGTTCGTTGCTTTAAATATAAGGAAAATTTTCTACATGCGTAAACCTTAAGTATTAACTATTATAAATTTTAAAATAAATTAATTTAATTTTTTAAACAACTTCTATATAATATTTTTAAAAACACATCAATTAAACCGTTTAAGAAACATGAAAAACAAAAGGGAGGAAATTGAAGTTTAGGGTTAGAAAAGATCAGGGCCCAAGTACTGCTCCTACCATTTTTAATAGATAATATCGTTAACTTTATTTATCATTCATTTTATTAAAATATTTTATATAATATTACTTATTTTGTTGTGATATCTTTTATCATTATAGAAAATTTAAGTACTACTTATAGTTTAGCAAATTTACACTAATTTTTTAAATAAGATAAATGGTAAAACGTTATTTAAAAAGTTAGTAATATATAAATATTGATTCAAATCTGTATCTAACCCTTGCATCGAGAAGAAAATCAAATTGTGCCAAAACACTATAAATTGGTTTACTGATAGTTGTGTTTTCTCCGTTAATTCGTTAGTAGATTATGATGGAACGTATGACAAATGTAAGCATGGTCTATCACTGGTGGAGAAACGCTTTGTTGTCCCGATTGGTAATCATTTGTAGTCCCGATTTTTCAACCGGGACTACGAATCCGGGACTAAAGATCGCAATCTTTAGTCCCGGTTCAAATAACCGAGACTAAAGATTGATTTTTAGTCCCGGTTAGTGTGCGATCTTTAGTCCCGGTTCAAATAACCGAGACTAAAGATTGATTTTTAGTCTACCAACCAGGACTAAAAATATGGTCCCGGTTGTTGTTACCAACCGGGACTAAAAAGTTTTGGTTTTTTTTTTTCCTTTTCCTTTCATCCGATTGGCCTTTTTCCTTTTTTATTGTTCTTTAGCTTTCGCTCGTGGATCGAATGAATAAAATCAACGACAAAGCCTAAATCATAGATCGAATGAATAAAATCAAACAACAAAGCATCCATATTGTTTACACTTGTTCAGATCTACAACATCTCATCACAGAGAGCATTCATCACAGAGAACAAAGAAAGGAAAAAGAAAGTTCACATCTACAATATCTTCAGCATTCATCAGATAGCACAGAGAAGAGAAAAAAAAGTTCTCCTGCCGCCGCCTCCTGACCAGCGTCGGCCGCCGCCATCCCGACCAGCGCCGACCGCCGCCCTCCCGACCGGCGCCGGCCACCCCCAACGCAGCCGGCCGCCGCCCTCTCAACCGGCCCCATCTCGCCGTCTCGCGCCCGACGCAGCCAGCCGCCGCTTCCCGACCGGCGCCGGCCGCCGCCGCCTCCATCTCGCCGCCCTGCGTCGGGCCGCCGGCGGCGGCCTCCATCCCACCGCCCGCCGGAGGGGAGGAGGGGGAGGAGAGAGGGGAGGAGGAGATGGGGTGAGAAAAGAAGGAAGAGAAGGATAGGAGGAGAGGAAGAGAGAAGAAGATAAGATGGAGATGGCTGGATGGGAGAGGAGGAGATAATGATGGAATTAATAGGAGACTTTGCATGTGCGCGTGGATAGAGGTTTTGTTTTACCGGTGGTAACCGGGACTAAAAATCCTAACTTTAGTCCCAGTTGGTAACACCAACCGGGAGTAAAGATCACCGTTACCAATCGGGAGTAAAGATCACGGGAGGGCCTGACAGCCCCTGACAACATACGATCTTTAGTCCCGGTTTTTAGTGGAACCGGGACTAAAGATCATCTTTAGTTTCAGTTTTTAGTGGAACCGGGACTATTATGAATTTTGGTTGACCGACCAAAGATGGTTTCTCCACCAATGTATGTTACTTCCTCTAATAAAAAATACTTACGTAAATGCCAGACTAATGATCTCTTTTATCATGATGACGGGTCGAATATACCGTATATACGTTGATGGTGGTTGTGTGCTATTGGGTTCCCGACTGGGTCAACGGTGAAGGCTATTTGGTTTGAATCCAACATTCCTAAAATATAATAGCATTAATAGAATGGTCTACATTTTGGATTGATGTGCTTGTTCGCTCCATTGTCTAATTGTGTTCGGGATACAAAGTTACGAACTTCTCTCTTGTATATAAAAATGAATTAATATATTTTTTTAAATAAAACACGTCATTTAGCAGTTTAGGAAGCTATGTGTGAAAACGAGAGAGAAGAAGTTGAGAACACACCCAAGAGATTTTACTATTGCAACGTTATTAACCTCAATCAAAATTTGGTAATTCCATACCCTTTTTACTCTCGAAACTACACCAAAATTTAATAAGATATAAGACTCAACACCACCTTTAATTTACTTTTTTAACCTTGTCGGAACTTAACAATACATAAAATCTAAGTCGAGAGGCCTCTCGATCTGGTCTTATCACGCGACGCATCTAGGACCGTCCGATCCCACACGCTGGTGTAGTCGTCTGATCTGTTCCACATGCCGATATTGCCAAGAAGGCCAGAACAGACCAAATCGGAAAGCATGTGACGCACTCTACTACGCTAGAGAGAGAGAGAGTAGTTTATCCCCTATGTTTCAAGCAAATAGGAACCACTTATACTTCAAATTAAATTTTCTCTTAAATAACTTATCCGATCTATGATCCGATTACGTGATTGTGTTCGTAATAATTAAATCTTTATAACAAGATCTCACATGATTATATTTTGATGAAAAATTATAAATTACTTTTATAATATATCTAAATTACTTTTGGATTTCATTAAATTACTACTTAGACATATTATAGTAAATTTAGTAAAGTCTAAAAGTAATTTACATAAATTATAAAAGTAACTTAAAACAGAAAGAAAGTAACTTTATCACGACATCAAAATTAAATCCGTTATGGAGGTAAAAACATGAGTCTATATAGAAATTAAATTTAACCGGCACAAATTACGTCACTGACTAAAAATGATTGTAAAACAAACAACTCACAATATTATGAATAACATTATGAATGTATATATTTCTTTTAATGTCGTAACAAGTTACTTTACTTTTTTTAAGTTACTTCTATATATAGGTAAATTACTTTTATGACTAAGAAGTAATTTAATGTAATCTAAAAGTAATTTACATATATTATAAAAGTAATTTGTATTTTTTCATAAAAATATAGTCATGTGAGATCTTGTTATAAAGATTTAATTGTTATGAACATAATGGTGTAATTGGATCGTAAATCGGATGACTAATCTAAGAGAAAATTTCATAAGAAAAAAAAATACATGCACTTTTGAGTATACTAGTAGCAATTAGATATGAGATTGAGTTAGTTGGTTATGACTATATAGAGAACGGTCTCGTTGTAGATACGTCCTTAACAATAGCATTACCAATCTTTGGCTTACGTCTTACTCACAAATGATCAGTTTTACTTTGTTGGCAATAAAGTAAACAAGCATGATATCAAAAGTTGTCAATCAATTCGAGTAAAGCTACTCCACCATACCAAAAATATTGATAATGCAAAAACTTATTTAAGATTTAACACCACTGTTTTTCTTTTCAAAACATAGTATAAGTACAAATAGTCATACACACACATGCTCTCACTCACCTTTATAAGCACACGCTCATTCTCTATAAACACGTCCGGAAAACTACCAAAAGTTTTAGCACTACCCTAAACCAAAATACCCCGAAATAAGAGGCAACATCTATGGAGTTTATTTACTCCCTCTATCCCAAAATAGCTTCATTTCGATTTTGGGTGTGACTCTAAGGCCTTGTTTAGTTCGCGAAAAGAAAATTTTTGAGTGTCACATCGAACGTTTGACCGGATATCGGAAAGGGTTTCCGGACACGAATGAAAAAACTAATTTCATAACTCGTCTAGAAACTGCGAGACGAATTTATTAAGCCTAATTAATCCATCATTAGCACATGTGGGTTACCGTAGCACTTGTGGCTAATCATGGACTAATTAGGTTCAAAAGATTCGTCTCGCGATTTCCATATAAACTATACAATCAGTTTTTCATTTTATCTATATTTAATACTCTATGCATGTGTCCAAATATTCGATGTGATATTTTTGGGAAAAAGTTTTTGGGAACTAAACAAGGCCACTCCTCGTAGCACCGTGCTTTTTTTTTTTTACTCAGGCCTGGTTTAGTTCCCAATTTTTTCTTCAAACTTCCAACTTTTCTATTACATGAAAACTTTCGTACACACATAAACTTCCAACTTTTCCGTCACATCGTTCCAATTTCAATTAAATTTCTAATTTTAACGTGAACTAAACACACCCTAAGAGAAATCCTAACATATCCAAGGTAAGGTAGTCCTTCTCTCACTTGAAAATAGAAAACACTATTTCTTCGCACAAAACCAACTATCCTTTGCTACTATATTTCTTTTACTCCAAGCAACCATACCTTCCCCGAGACTAGCTTTCTTTTACTCCGAGAAACAATACCGTCCTCGATAAGGTAGTCTCCCTTTCTTAATTAATAGGATGCGTCACATATTATACTTAGTTCTTTATGAACGAAGCAAGCATATATTAATAAAATGATAGGATTAATGGTGAATAGGTAAGAGGCAAGGGATTGGTAAAGAGCACTAAAGTAATAGAAAAATACAAACCAGTGGTAAAAAGGAAAATAAGAATAAAGTTATTTTCAGACATACTCCCTCCATCCCAAAATTACTCAGGCTTTGTTTAGTTCCTGAAAAAAGTTGAAAGTTTGGGGAAAGTTGAACGTTTGGAAAAAAAAAAGTTGAAAGTTTATGTGTGTAAGAAAGTTTTGGATGTGATGTAAAGTTGAAAGTTTGGGGTAGTTGAGGGTGAACTAAACACGACCTCAATCTAGATGGGTATGCGACCTCTTCTAATATAATCTCTCCTAATATAGAGCTGGCTTGGTTTGAGGCCTAAATTGGCCTTACCAATATTTGTCAATTTCAATAGTGTTTATTGTCTATTTGGTTTGGAGCCAAATTTTGGCATGCCTAAGAAAATAGGCCATTTCAACAGTTAATTTAGGCTATTTTGGTTTCAATCCAAACACAATTTTACCTTTGCCAAAATTAGCCATGCCAAAAGTTGACAAAATTTGACATTGATAAAAATTGGTAAGGCCAATTTAGACCACAAACCAAACCAGCCCATAGTAACAAATCTAAACTTGTATTACAAGACAGCACCTTCCCAGCTAAAGCCTGTTCAAATTGTAGCAAAAATAAACCTTACTAAATTTTGGCAAATTAGTAATATTGCTAAAATTTTAGCAAAATTTCTTATATATTTACCAAGTTTAGCACAAACTAAGATATTTTTTTAGCAACTTTAAAAAAATAATATGATCGAAAATAACGTCAATCTGAACCGCCCTTAAACCGGAGTAACAACCACTTATTAATCAACCACCAGTAGAAGTAAAACCGCGGGGCCCACGTGTAGGCCGCAGAACGGACCAACAGTCGCGGGCCCACAAAACCGGCAGCACAATCCGGGGGATGCCGAGCGCCCGCCCGGTACTCTTTTGCCTTATCCCTTCCACTCCCCTGTGGCCCCCATCCCCCCAACCCCCACAGCGCCACCAACCTTCTTACCCACTCCACCCACTGACAACGTTGGCCACCTTTACCCCTACCCCACATGTCAGTGACAGAGTCTGCGGGGCAGGCGTACCAGCTCGGGCCTCCGGGGCGACACGTGGAGCTCCCACGTTGCTCCATCTCTCGCTATAAACCATTTCTTCTCCACCTTTCCTTCCCCTTCTCGAGTCCCTCTCCTCCCCCCTCTCTCTTTCTCGGCGAGGATTGGCTGTGTGATTAGAGGTAATTTAATCGCGATAGATTGGTTTAACTCTAATCCGGGAGTTTGCTTGGCCTAGGGTTTGGTGGATTTGCGTCCCTGTGAGAATTTCCATATCCAATCGGGTAATTCTCCACCACCGTATTCTGTGTAATTCTGTTGCGATTTTATTGGGTGGGTGGGTTGGTTGGTTGTCGTGTTGATCTGCCCAACTCGTACTCTCTCGATGCTTATGTGTTATTCTGGGTTGGAATTTTGGGCATTTTTTTTAATTTTACGGTTTCTTCTCCCTTGATGGAGTGATTTGCAGAACAGGGTGTGGAACAATCGAAAGTAGGGTACAGTGACTGAACTATTAGGGGTTTGGGGGATTTGATAATACGTAGATAGGGTTGATGCTTTGATTCGTAAGACATGGTTCATTTTTCTTGAGCTAGTGTCATCTGTTAGTTTTCCTGGATTGCACTTAGGATTGGCAGCAATCCGTAATTATTGTAAGAGCCTAGGTTGCGTGAAAGATGAACACACCCACCAAAAACTGAGGACTCGTGGGGTTTAGTATTGTTTGGCAGTATCTGTATATAATCTGATAATTTTAAGTCAATTTACACGATTGTTTGATGTGCAGAATGGGGCCAAAGAGAGCGAAGTCTATGCCAAGTCGTAATCGTGCTGGGAATGGATGACAAAGAATCACACAGTCACGAGCTAGAATGATATGCGCTTTTTAGTCCATCAAGAAGAAGTGATTGGTTTGTGATCGGTGCTCGCATCGTCGCCATGGGAAGTGCTTGCTCTAGGAAGAGAGGCCAGCTGCTTGTTGATGAGGAAGATCTCTACAGTGCAAGGTTCTCCAAGAGCAGCAGCTTCAAGTGGCTACTGCACACCTTGCCCCGCAGCGGCTCTGATGTACACAGGAAGGTGCAGGGACCAGTGCCTGTGCGGTGCCCATCGCTAATGGAGCTCTGTGTGGCCAAAGTCCGCGAGGTAGTGCTTGTGGCCTTGGATGATTGAGTTTTCTGTGTGTATTGTTGCCTGACTTGATGAGGGGTGATTTCAGGATATTGGGAAGTATTCTGATTTCTCGCTGCTGCCTAGAGATCTTAGTCAGCAGGTATTTAATGAACTGGTGGAGTGGAACATTCTCACTGAAGAGTTGCTTGGAGCTTTTCGTGATTGTGCATTGCAGGTGAAGTGCTTGATCTTGTTTGGCACGTAATTATGACTGAGCTCTAAACACGTTCGCGAAAAAAATGACTCAATTCTAAACAAGGAAAATCAATATGGAATTATTGCAAACTCTATGGAATGCAATCCTGACATTCCCTTGTAGCAGTTTCTAACTTTCAATGTAGTATCAGGGAACGAATAAAGGCATCTTGTTGGAACAATTCTTACTATGTTGTAAACGATTTTATAGCTTATTTTTATAAGCTAACTCAGGAAAGTAAACTAAAATGTGTTGGTAAAATTTATCCTGTAAGCAATTGAGGAAAATCCACTCAAGGAAGCCTCCACTGGGTACTGATACTAATAGACCAGTTGAGCTCACGTGCACAGCTGCTATCTTATTCTGTGTAACTCAGATGATGCTTCTATCTTCCTGCTACAAGCAAGCCAAGCAATCGCTTTACTTGTGTGCCACATAAAGAAAGGACCAAATTTGGAGTATTTCTTGTTTCTGGGATAAGTTACTCTGAGACTAGATATTGACCTCCTATGCTATTCTTCTACTTGGTCTCAGGACATCTGTTTGGCAGACTACCCTGGGGTGAGGGATGCTTGGATGGAAGTAGCGGCTTCTCAAGGGCAATCATTGTTATCTGTTGATATCTCTTGCTCTGATGTGACTGATGGTGGACTGAATCAACTCAAGGATTGCATCAACTTGCAAAGTTTGTCATGCAATTACTGTGATCAGATATCGGAGCATGGACTTAAAACATTGTCAGGTTAGTGATTTTCTGATAGCCTGAGAGTTGAGTTTTCTTCCATCTCTATGATAAGAGTGGTGTCAATGTTCCTGATCACTAGATATTCTGTTCCTGTCATTTATGGTATTGCTTTTTAATTCTGCAGGCCTCTCAAATGTGACATCCCTGAGCTTTAAAAAATGTTCTGCTGTTACTGCTGAAGGAGCTAAAGCCTTTGCAAACATGGTTAATTTGGGTAGCTTGGACCTTGAGCGATGTCCGAAGATTCATGGTGGACTTGTTCATTTAAAAGGTTTCCTGCTATTTCATTAATATATCATCACAATGTAACCACAGCCAACTTATTTATTATAAATGCATGATCTAATTTTATCATTTACCATGTGTTCCCCGCACCCTACACCCCAATGAAACAGAGATATATTTATCATCCAGAGCTTTTATATATCTTTCTTTGTAATAAATACAGGGAAGACTGGCATGCTACCTATTTGTTCAAACGCTACTCAATCGTGAATACATTTTAATTATACTTCTGTCAGATCCAATAATAACTTTCTTTTTCAGGCTTGAGAAAACTGGAAAAGCTAAATTTGAGGTATTGTAATGGCATCACAGATTCTGATATGAAACATTTATCAGGTAACACCTTTATGTTGACCATCTAGTGTCAAGCAGTGTATGTTATCACACATACTGATCTGCACGTCTAATAAATACCCTTTTCCTTGTAGATCTTACAAATTTGAGAGAGCTTCAACTTTCTTGCTGCAAAATAAGTGATCTTGGTGTTTCTTATCTAAGAGGTATCCCAGAAATAAATTTCTTCCTTTTCCAGTGGAACCTTATCTACCTAAAGCTACATCCATTTGTATCTGTAATATTCTGATTAATTCGTTGTTTCTATTAATATAATGACATGAAGTTTCATCTAAAGTTAGCCTCTGTTTCATATTTTGTATTTGTTCTTTACAGGTCTATCGAAGCTAGCTCACCTAAACCTGGAGGGCTGTGCAGTAACTGCTGCTTGTTTGGAGGTTATTTCAGGTTTTGCATCTTTTCCATACGAGTGCTATGTTATCAGTTCACGCTTCCATGAAAATGTCTTACATTTATTCTAGGGAAGTCCTTGGGGTAATTTAATTTGACTGTTGAAAGGGTGCCACATCTGCCAGAACTCATGTAGAATAATCCATTAAATTCATTACCAAAAATGGATATTTAGGGACCTGAAGAAGTGCATGTCATGAAATTTCACACATTTCTTTTGGTTCTCATTCTATATATAGTCAACTACCTCATGGATTTATCCCCAGAGAAATCTCTTCTGGTGGATTTGACATGAAAGTTTTAGAAATTCCCTTTGCAAGTTGAATGAGAATGACAAAGTGGCTAGGTAACTTGAGAGTGTCTTGCTTCTACTCCCTCCGTTTCACAATGTAAGTCATTTTAGCATTTCCCATATTCATATTAATGTTAATGAATCTAGACATATATATTTATCTAGATTCATTAACATCAACATGAATGTGGGAAATGCTAGAATGACTTACATTGTGAAACGGAGGAAGTACTATAGGACTATTATGCTGCTTCTTGTAAATGAGAGATTTTTTTATTACTTTTGGTGCTTATAGATGGTAATGGAATTTCATTTTATTATTTTCAAAGGAAATTCATTGTTGACTTGAGGCACATTTTCTTCTTCTTTTTTCAGTCCTATATTTCTCTGTGAAGCGTAAGCTTACCATATTACTGTTGCGCAGCTAGCGATTAGAATGCTGGTTTATAGAACTCTTTAGTTGCCTAAGATATTTCTCTGTACTCAGCGTACAGTATGTTTGACAACTCTGGTGTACTGCTCTTTGATGTAATCTATTTCATGATTACATGAACACTTAACAAGCTCCCTGTTTGGTGAGATCATATTTTCATTAATAGAAACAATAAGGTGTTCAACAACGAGAGGAAATCGGGCGGGGGGGGGGGGGGGGGGGTAATAAGCGCGGCCATGGAGGAAGAAGCAGCGGTCTGGCGTGTGGCTGGCCTGCCCATCTGAGCCACCGCTCACTAAACGGTTGCCAAACTTGTTGCGAGATATAGCCCCACGCCTTTTGTGTTTTCTTTCTTTCTCATTTGCTTGTTTTCCTTTCAGCGGAAGATTGTAAAGTTTTAAAAACTCCCTTTCTCTTAATACAAAAGATGCACAAGGCTTTTGTGCGTATTCTCAAAAAAGTTTTCATTAATAGTGATGTTATTACAGGATTGGCTTCATTGGTATTGTTGAATCTTAGTAGATGTGGAGTATATGACGAAGGCTGTGAGCATTTGGAAGGTAATATTATAACCTCTGGTCGTTGACTTTTTGGCGAACACAATTCTCTATTATTTGCAGAGCGCATTGTTTTTTGTCTACAAATAGGAAATTATGCCCTTTGTATGCAGATGACAAACTAAGTAGTTATAAATTGGTTAATTCTCAGTGTACGTCTAGTCAGTTCACCTACCATTTTTTTTCAACAATAGTTAAGATGTTTTGTGATCTACAAATAGGAACATATGCCACTTTATGTCTCGTTGTGTAAGCTGTCCATATTAAGTTCTGTTTCTTCATCATACATGGTTGCACTTCTTCTTAGCGTTGTCGGTGGTCTTGCCTTGCAGGTCTTGTCAAGTTGAAGGTTCTCAATTTAGGGTTCAACTATATTACAGATGCCTGCTTGGTTCATCTAAAAGGTAAATAGACTCTTCATTATTTATCTTCATATGATATTTGACATCAATGTAGAATAATGTTTAAAAATTAGCATTCTAGCATCCAAATTTGAAGCGCTGTGATCTAAGTGACAAGTGAGTCCTGAAATTTGGTAAAGCACTGCTGTGAAAATCCATAGAATTTGATCACTATTACTCAAGAAATAACACTTATATTTTCTTAATATACCAGTATTCTCTTGTTTCTGTCATTAAAATTGCCGATGATATGAGACTAGATGCATACCAGAATACGCTTTTGTTTCACTTTTGCCATGTTGTTTTTGTTCAATATATATGTTTACGCCGCACCAAGTGGAAGGTGTACCCACTTGATTGTATTGATTTTTCTGGAAACATGTCAGAAGTCTGACATCATTATATACTATATATGCTAATTAACACATGAAGTGGGGAGCTTTCCTGATGTTCTTCTGTTCTTGTAGAACTGATCAATTTGGAGTGTTTGAACTTGGACTCATGCAAGATTGGTGACGAGGGGCTAGCACATTTGAAAGGTGAGTTTCTTAGTTGTCATGTCTTTTCTTTGTTTTTCCTGTTATCTTGTCTATACTTATACGAAAGATGGTAGTGTGGGACCCACCAACAGTGAAATAAGACTTTGCCTATTTCTACAGCTAGCTTATCAGGCACAAAGCTAGAAAGTGACAACATAAGTTGCATGATGACAATATATTAGACAATAGGAATAACTTTTTATGGGCTTTAAAATACTGGCATTTTGCTAGTATTTCATAAAACACTGAAGGCGGAGAATCACACAATAAGCCTCATGCAGTAAGTCGTAGTTTACTTTTGTTTAATGGCATATAGTATTAGTGCTTTGTACCAGACTAGTCCGCAATTGTCAGTTTAGCATTGACTAAGTATACTTTGTTCCTTATGGAATTCTTAATTGGTTTAATTGTTTGTATTACTGGTTACATTCTTTTTTTTTGGGGTCTCAAATCATTGGTGTACATCTCTCTGTGCTGTAGGACTTCTGAAACTAAGAAGCTTGGAACTTTCAGACACAGAAGTTGGGAGCAATGGACTTCGTCATCTCTCTGGTTTGTTTAATCTTCTGCACAAATGCTAGTGCCATTGACTTTATTTTTTTTAAAAAAAATATATGATGTTTGAATAGTTCAAGCGGTTTCAGTTTTTAGTTATTACTCACAACAGTTCTTCAACTAATATATCTCCTCAGGCCTACGGAATTTGCAGAGCATCAATCTCTCTTTTACATTGGTTACGGACATTGGCTTGAAGAAAATTTCTGGCCTGAATTCACTCAGATCCCTTAATCTTGATAATCGCCAAATCACAGATAATGGTTTGGCAGCTCTTACATGTATGTCCTCATTTTTGGTAAAATTACATTGTTTAATACTGGCGTGCATGATTGGGTTTCCTGTTATGCATTAGACATGGTATCTTACCCATTTTAGCAATTTAATTGGATATGGCATGATTGGGTGCTACGTTATTTTTTGGGGCATGTAGAGTGTTGGTCTTTTTTATGTCTGTTTAGGATGGTGTTCCTTTCCTCTCAAGGTTTGATGTTTCGCTTTAATCAAATGGTGATTGTTGTGCATTGTAGTAGGAGTAAGAATTTGGCTACAAGGTTATCGTCTGAATTCTCCAGTTCTGTATCGTTGTGTAGTCCTTTGGTTGTATTTTGCCTTGAAGTGACATTTGTTTAATGCAGGTCTCACTGGGTTGACACACCTTGATCTATTTGGAGCTCGTATAACTGATGCTGGGACAAACTGCTTGAAATGTAAGTGTGCACATAAAAAGTTGGTCCATGCTAAGGTTCTGTTTACTAGTCTGGTGATTTTGGATTATCGGAACAAGCTAGTTTACTATAAGAGTTAAGATAATGGCACGTTGGGCCTTTTTGCACTTGTGTAGCACCGAGCTTATCATTGTGCACACATAAAGCAAATCCTATTAACCTAGCATTCTGTGGAACTTTTTTTTTCTCAACCCCTGCTATTATTAGCATTGAATATGACAGCATCTTGGTGCATATTTTACTGGGAAATTATTATTCCCTTGGAAATTTGGGGGATTCTCGTTATTTTTATGCATCAAAATATCACGTAGCACTTAAATCTGTTTGCTAATGCATTCTTCAGATTTCAAGAATCTACAGTCCCTTGAGGTCTGCGGTGGGTTAATTACAGATGCTGGAGTGAAGAATATCAAAGACCTCAAAGCTCTGACGCTGCTTAACCTATCTCAAAATGGCAACCTCACTGACAAATCCTTAGAGCTGATTTCCCGTATGTCTTTTGCGCTCGTCAGGAATGAAAGCATTCAACACACAATTTATCTATTTATTTGCATATCTTCCATGTGTACAGGCCTCACTGCCTTGGTCTCCCTGAACGTGTCGAACTCTCGGGTGTCGAATTCTGGGCTCCACCATCTGAAGCCACTCCAGAACCTGAGGTCCTTGTCTCTGGAGTCCTGCAAGGTGACCGCGATTGAGATCAAGAAGCTCCAGTTGGCTGCCCTGCCCAATCTCGTCAGTGTGCGGCCCGAGTAATCTGGTAGCTGCACATGTGTCCACATGTAAATATCCACCTGCTTAGAGCAGGACAAATGTACATATTCCCACAAGAACAAGCTCGAGTGATCTGTACGTCAGTCCTGCTTGTATCGGTGTGTCTGGTCGCCCTGGTGCTGAAGGGTCTGATGGATGGCCTAGTGGTGAAGGGCTGGCACGTATTTAGGCCGTGTAAATATGTAGCGGTGCTGATGGGAAGGAACAACTGTAAATATGGCGTGCTTCCTCTGCATTTTCGATGTTATGTAATGTTTCGTGTTATCGTGTTAATGAACTGGTATTGTTGCTTGACCTTTTCCCCTGATGGCTGATGGTATCATAGTCCATACTCCTTTCGTCAACTGAATTTTAAGCCGGTTTAAGCGAACGCCAGCTGCTACCTGGTACTCTGATTCGTGCAATTGCGGGCTTGCGAGAAGCCGATCTCCCAGCACAGGTGGTACTTTACGCCGCTTTGCGCGAGGAAGCGTCCCTCCGCACTGTGACTCTGACATACAGTTATGTTCTGCTTATGTACCTGGTATCTTTGCTCAGGTTACGCGATTATATTATAAGCTCGTCCTTGTTTACATACAGTAAAGAGAGTTAAGCTTATGAACCATGAGATCTAGATGTATTTTACATTTGCCTTTGCTTGCTAAGAGGTCATTCAATGTAATTAAGATTGGAAGAAAAGGTTACAAGAAAAGTCTTACATCCCGAAATGTAATTAAGCTGGCTCAGGTCAATGGGGCGGCGCCAACGCCACAGCTGTGGCTGTGTGGCAAACTGGCAACCCTAACAAGCAGCTGATTTGGAAAGAAACACCGAAACAGGAAGCCATTCAAAAGCGTACAGGATAACCCAGGCTGGTGGGAAGAAGATAATGCGAGCGAGGAAGAGGGAATATAGACGTTGGCGACGTGTGATGACGTACTGTTTGAAATCTTTCCAAATTTCTTCAGTTCTCCACCCTAGACGGTTTCACATTTTGAGGTTCCAAAAAGGAACCATTAGAAAAGGGAATATCAAATGCCGTCTTGATTGATTTTCATTAGAAACCAAAATTAAACAACTCTGTTGTCAAATGTTATATGCTGCTCTATCTACAAGTACAACTTGCATGCTTTCCTGATTGCTAACTACGTACTATTTCAGAATTTTACGATTAGTTTCTGGCAAAACGTCTCCTAAAAATCATTTCATATTCATTTTCAAATCAAAAGCCAGTAAAAATGGCATTCATAGACATAGTATAGATATAACAAGCAAAGAGGCAAAAACTGAACTTAAGCTTCATATCACGATTACATGATAGTAGATGGCATACATGAATTGGCCTCGGTAAACACAATATCTATAACACATACAAGCTTCTTACTAGTAGGGGCTCAGCATCTCGAACTCGCATAGGCCTCAGCAGTTTATGTTACTAATGTTCTGACACGCTTATCTCTAGTCCTTGCATCGCACGGTTGATCATGTCGAGGCCAGCCTCGAGCTACACGACCACACACTTCTCCGCGAGCAATTCCGGTGTGAAAAGTCCTTTCCACACTTCATACCAAGCCATCGCCTCATCCAGCCGGGGCCTCTCTCCCATTAGATACCGATAGTTGGAGTACATCCATTTCTTAAAGAACCCTTGTATCAAAAGCGGCACCATGTACTTCACCGGCACGATGGATGCCCACCTCATTACAAGAGGGAAGAAGTTTTTATTTTGTAGCCAAGTCATTCTTACTGAGATCTCAAGATCATGGAGAGCCTTCCTCAGAAGAGGCAGCACGTGCCGCTCAATGTGTTCGTCCTAGCTTGCTGGATCGAACACCTTTTTCCATGGCAATGCAAGCTTGTAGTCATAGTCAGAGATCCCGCCGCACAGGTGATCTCTGAGCCGCCTGCTTATAATGATGTACACTATTCGTAGGCGGGCGTGGCCGAGATGAGGAATCCACATGCCCACGCAAACGCTCGGCTTACTCGACCACGTCGTCAGCCTAAACACGTCCGCCGCGGCTACCAGCGTGGGCAAGATGACCTCATCCAGGATGGAATCCATGGTAGCTTGCAGAAGGAGGCAGCGCTCCACCACCACGCATCCAAGGGAGGTGCCATCACGAGGTCGTGGATCAGGCGAGGGTACGCCGCTGATGCGTCCGCTCCCAGCGTGTCCTTGAGCGCTTCTACCATGACAAGTGTACGGTTCAGCAACGGCTCCGTGCCTCCATACTCACCTGCGCTGTACTGCCGGCTCAGCTGCGAGTGGAGCAGCGGCGCCGCGAAGCTGATCGCCTTGTACGGCATACTGTTCGTCCTGTACTCCTCCGGGAACTTCGCCTTCACTCCCGCGAACTCATGGATCAGGCCGCCCAATGTGAGCTTCCCCGACTCGCTCTGCTCCCGGACCACCTTCAAGGCGCGCTTGATGGCCGTGTACCCGGAGGTTATCCCCTCCTGTAACGTCCCGCCTTCCCCCAGGCCGGGCCTGCTTACATCTGATAGCTTTCATAGGTCATAGACTGCCATGGCCGCCCAATGTGAGCTTCCCCGACTCGCTCTGCTCCAGGACCACCTTCAAGGCGCGCTTGATGGCCGTGTACCCGGAGGTGTACCCGGAGGTTATCCCCTCCTGTAACGTCCCGCCTTCCCCCAGGCCGGGCCCGCTTACATCTGATAGCTTTCATAGGTCATAGACTGCCATGGCCGCCCAATGTGAGCTTCCCCGACTCGCTCTGCTCCAGGACCACCTTCAAGACGCGCTTGATGGCCGTGTACCCGGAGGTTATCACGTCCCGCCTTCCCCTAGGCCGGGCCCGCTTACATCTGATAGCTTTCATAGGTCATAGACTGCCATGGCCGTATACCCGGAGGTTATCCCCTCCTGTAACGTCCCGCCTTCCCCCAGGCCCCCGCTTACATCTGATAGCTTTCATAGGTCATAAACTGCCCTCGCCCCCGCTTACATCTGATAGCTTTCATAGGTCATAGACTGCCCTCACAGACCAACACATATCTTTTCTGCACACTTTGTCCTCACTCGTGTGCACCCGGGAAGAATTTCCCGGTCGGTCACCCATCCCAACTTGCTCCAGGCCAAGCACGCTTAACCCTAGAGTTCTTTGGAGATTGGCTTCTGGAAAAGAAGTTGCAACTTGTTGATATGAGTATTCTATTAATCCTATTAAGCCCTAGGCCGGGATGTTACACTTCCCAGTCGTCGTCGGCGGCGGCGTCATGTTTCGGTGGGCGTTGCCAGCGCATGTTATAGGCCCGAACCTTCTCGTGGCGCCGCTCCCGCGCCCGCGCGGCGGCATAGGCTTTGCGTTCTCTCTGCAGCGTGTCCATGGCGCGGACCTCCTCGGCATTGACAACAGCCTTCGGCTCTGCTTTGCCGGTGCCCCGCTCGAGCTTGGGCTCTACAGGCGGCCCTGTGTTGTAATCTGAATCGCTATCGTACGACGACTCGAATTTGCCAACGCCTCCTTTCCCGTACTTTTTGGTCGGGTTGATGGGATCGATAATCCCGTGGCCGTACTTGCCGAGGCCGGTGCCCTCCTCGTAGTTCATCTGAGCCATCAACCTCGCCACTATCTGGTTGGTCGCCAGGCTCCCGGGCTGCGGCGGCAACGGGGGATAGTAGGAATTGCAGTAAGCGGGAGGGGAAAACAACGATGAACAATGGTGATCCATGTCGCCGGAGCTCGCGTGCACAAAGTGGATGGTGGGTACGTCTTTGCTTGCAGCCGCCGCAGTTTCCTACATACCACTAGTCTCGTTGTTGGAGTCAGGAGGAGTGCCCAGATCCGGCGTTTCCGATGCAGTAGTCCCGCCGTGGGGAAGACCACCACCAGCTTGGTTTCTCCCCTCGTCACAGGCCATGAAAACAACCATGTTACTCCCCTTGTCACCGGAGGAGAAGGCTTTGGAAACATGCGTGTTGCAGGTCATGAAACAACCATGTTACTCCCCTCGTCACCAGAGGAAAAGGCTTTGGAAACATGCGTGTTGCTTCCCTCGTCACCGGAGGAGGAGGCTATAGTCCCCTCGTCGTACGCTATGGAAACAACCGTATTATTCTCCTCCTCACCGGAGGAGAAGGCTTTGGAAACAAGCGTGTTGCTCCCTCGTCACCAAAGGAGACCATAGATATTTACAAAGCTAACTAGAGGATCGATGAGATTAATGATGGGTTCTGTACGTCCTCCCCCGTCGAGGCCGGCCCTTTTGTATAAGAGGGCTGGCGTGATCTTCTGTTACGATTCAGCGAGGGAAGTAAGTCTTTTGTTCCGATTCGGCAACGGAAACGGATCGATAATCTACGATGAGTAATCGATGTGGTGGACTTGTGTAATATACGGGAGCTTAGCGTCTTTTTGGCAAAAACGTTCAATCCCTATATGTCCATCTCTCTTCTCTCGCGCTCCCAACGACGCCGCCGCGGCGCCGCCTCCTCTTCCACCCCGCCATGGCCGCCGCCTCCGCCTCCTCTTCCATGTCCCCGCTGGTGCCGCTCCTCTCCATCTGCACCACTTTGGCACGCCTCCCTCCATGACCCCAGTGAGATCACCGCGAACCCTCTCCTTCCACGCGCCGGCGAGCCGCCATCTCCTCCTCGTCGTCGCTGGATGGGGCCGAGGATCTCGATGACGGGGCGAGGAACACGGTGACCGCGTGCGGAGATTGGGGAGCAGCTCTCCGGCAGCGACGAGCTCCGCCGCCGGCGTCGCCCCTCCCCTTAAGCTTGGTGGCGGCACGGCGACAGAACTCCTCGAGCTGGCTGCAGCGGCAGCGCAGGTTCGGCCAACCGATGCCCCCTTCTCCTTGTCGCTGGATGGGGGTGAGGAGGTCGATGGTGGCGCGCAGGTGGGTAGGAGCTGGGCGGCAGCTACGAGCTCCGACAACGGCGAGGCGCTCTCCTCCTCCCTTCAATATTGTTGCAATCAAGGATGTATGTGAGGATGGCCGAGCGGTGCACATTGTGATGGAGCTCTTCATTGTTGGTGAGCTCTTGGACAAGATTCAGGAGGAGGGGCATTATAACGAGCGAAAGGCTGCAGAGATTAAAGACGATGGTCTGTCAATTAAGGCGATAGACATCCGTAGGCTGCAGAGATTAAAGACGATGGTCTGTCAATTAAGGCGATAGACATCCGTGTTCTTCAAACCAGGTGGTGTTCTTATGCTACATTTTAATGCATGTGTAGTGGTTTATTTTTAATTTTAGAGAGTAACAGATCAACATAATATGTACTCCACAGAATAATTTTAGAGAGTATTTGTCTGCTTTGCTGTATATGTGTGGATAGTATTTGCACGCCAACATAATCAAGAGCATCCTAACTATATTCTGTTGTTTATCCATCTTCCTTGACAGTTCTGGCACTGTATGTGTCAGCTCATGTGTGAAGTGTTGTGGATATATAAATTAGTTTTTAACTTTTATCTTAAATTTTCCATTTTACAATTTGCAGGTCAGGTTTCACCGAGTTGATTGGGAGTCCATATTATGTTGCTCCCGAGGTACTGCACAGATATGTTATAGACCAGAATCTTAGGTACTGCACTTATGGACCAAAATCTGATGTGTGGTCAGCTACAGTGGTACTTAACGTTTTGATGAGTGGAGTGCCACCATTTTGGGCAGGTGAGTTATCTAAAACCTTATGTGTTGTAAATTTGAATCTAATATATTCTGGAATTGCTAAAGTGATCACATCCTATCCTTTTTCCAGAGACACAACAAGGAAAATATTTGATGCAGTTCTGAAGGGTCTCATTGATTTTCAATCAGTTCTAAAGATATCTGACAATGAGAAGTATCATATAGGGAAAATGCTCTCTCAATATTCTTCAGAGCATTTGAACTTTGAAGGGCCATGAAGTGCTAACTGCTAAGTAAGTATAATTGACCTATTTCTTCACCTAAATTAGTTGCCCTTTTGTTTCATTGCCTGTCCATATTGCTGAGTAGCTATACATTGTTCATAACATATTTTGATACATAATTTTAATTTTCACTAATTATTTAAGAGCCACAAACCTTTTGATTTGTTGACTGATATATATATGTATGTATATATGTATATATGTATATATATATATATGTATGTATATATGTATGTATATATATATGTATGTATATATATATACATATATATATATATATACATATATATATATATACATATATATATACATATATGTATGCATACATATATACATACATACACACACACACACACACACACACACACATATATATATATATATATGTGATATATATATATATATATACATATATATATATATATATATATATATATATCAGGACATCCTTGGATCTGTGAAAGTGGAGTTGCTATTAATCAAGCTCTACATATACATATATATGTATATGTATATGTAGGTATATATGTATATGTATATATATATACATATATATATGTATATATATATATATACATATATATATATATATATATACATATATATATATCAGGACATCCTTGGATCTGTGAAAGTGGAGTTGCTATTAATCAAGCTCTAGATCCCAGTGTTATCACTTGGCTCAAACAATTCTGCAATGAACAAGTTAAAAAGTTGGATTTAAGAGTGAGTGCTTCATCTACCCTTATGCTTCCATATTGCTGCTATGATATTTGCTATCATATCATGTTAATCAATATTGCTGATTGGCCTTCACTATAATCCCTTTGCATGCCATGCTATATTGTCATTCTTCTTTTTGGATCCTTCCGATAGTAAAATAAGTTAACTTTTGGTACATGTCAACTTTGAGAGCTTTACAAGGCTGATAATATGATTTTATTGCAATGCGGGCATCACTAAGCTGCCAGCTATATTCCAAATCTTTAATTCCATTACTAACTACCATATTGCAAGATCAAAGAATAAAGATTTAATAGCCAGACTGGCATGGACCATCACTTGGCTTTAACATTAATCTGCAAAATAGAAATGATCACATGGCTGCCAAAGTCCATTCTACGTTGAAAGTTCTACAAAATGATAGCAAATGTGGGACTCTTGTTTTTCTTTGGGTGACTCTTAGCTGTACAAAGACATTCATGATTCACTTCATATTCTCCGGAACTCTGTCAGGCTGAAGTTAGTGAAGATAGATCCAAAGCCTATAATGCTGCTGATCTTGGAGAGGTGAGAGAAAGTGAAGGATTTTTCTTTCTGAATGGCTTCCAGGTTGCTCTTGAGTTTCTCTGCAAAGAGGATCGCTATAATGTTATTGATGTTAAGGAAGTTGTGCTTAGTGTTATTGAGAGCACACCAGTTCTCCACCTGATTGATCCAAAACGGATCAAGTTCCTGGCAGAAAACCTTGCCGGCAAAGAAAGTTAGTCTGGGACATGCTGATTTGCTATCATGTTAAATATATGTATTTATTGTGCAAAAAGCTATATGCATTTCTCAAAGTGCATAATCTAGCTTTTTTCTTTTCTGACGTAAATCCAACTTACCTATTTTAGATCAGAAATCTATTGTTCCAATCATATGTATCGCCTTAACAAGGTCACATAGCTAACATGTCTTGAATATTGTTTCTTCTATTACTCCATATACAAATGAAGCATAAAGCGGTGAATACCATATGAGCATAATCTGAACAGTTACTTCAGTGTTAGGGGATGCTTTTGGGCATGTTTTAAACAATACTGATTTCATTTCATTTTTATAGGCGAAGATGAACTTGATGAAGGAATCTAAACATTCAGGAGATCAAATTTGGAGTGTGATGATTTTTTTCTTCTTTAGGCCATGTTCGGTTGGGCCGGGAACGGCCGGGATCAGGGCCCGATCCCCGTGGATCAACCCGGCGTGGGAAGAATACCGGCCCACGCAAGAATAGGCGTTCGGTTAAGCCCATGCGAGATTTTATCCCGGCCCACGGGGTGTTTTCCCCGTGTAATAGGCCGGGAAATATTCAGCTTCTCTGGTGGCGAGGAAAAAACCCTCTCGAGGGCGTGCAACGCAGCGGCGGCACAACGAGAGGGGGCGCTGCTGCGGCGGGGATGGCGTGGCGCGGCGCGGCGCGGCGCAACCCGGACGCAGCGGCAACAACACACGCTCTCCGTGGGTAGCTGTCTTCTCCGGTGGCCACCTTCTCCCCGGTGAGTTCCTCCCCTTCCACTCTCCCTTTTCTTCCAAAGTTAGGGTTTCTTGAACGCGCACTACTGCGGTGGTGGTGGCAATGGTGCACGGCAGTTGCAGGCGTGGTGGGGGACGCCACCGCATCACACCCCCTCACCATGGCGCCGTTGAAGCTCTACTGCTGTCGCAAGGAGAAGCAGGAGGACACGGATGCAGCAACAGCTTCAAGTGTTCTTTTTTTCACTGGTTTCTTGATTTGTTCTTTCTCCCCGTTGATCTGTCACCTGGATTTCCTCCTCCCTTGGTTCTCAAAGAAGAAGAATTAAATTAAAATTAGTGGAGACTATTAGAGATGGATGGATCGATCTTTAATTTTTCTCTGTGCAGTGTGCACAGCACAGGGAAGGAGGGGTCACTGTTGGTCCTTGTCTTCATTTTTATGTCCTTAATTACCCCTCTTGATGCATGTATTACTACTAGTTACTAGTACTAGCTTAGTAGTAGGTGCCTCCTCTTGAGTTGGTAGTTTTCTCCGGCAATAATAAGGATGAATATATATATATGCCATCATAATCTGTTGTCCTGTGAGGAGAAGGAACATTTACAGTGGTCATTCCTGAATTTGTGCTCTGAAGTAGCCCCACAGGATTTTGATATGTAGATAAATGTGATCAGATGAATCCGAGTTATTGCAGTTCTCATTTTTGGTCGATTTCCATGTGCGGAGTTGATTTCTGTGCGTCCTTGCATTCATCAACTGTGTGATATTTACCTGCAGGCTTAATTGTGCCCTATGAGTTGTTTACTGTCGAGGAAGAAAGTGCACCAAAGCACACACCTCGAACCATGTGCCAACCGCCCAAACACACGATACAGAGAGGGAAGCCGAGCACCGAACCGGCCGTCGCTATGCGAGACCGATCGCCATCGGGCCAACAACACCACCTCGGCGCAAAGACTCTAAAACGACGCCCTCGCGAGGGTTGCAACGCGAGACGCCATCATCATCCGTCCCAAAAAGGGACAAGGTTTTCACCCAGAGCTCCTTGCGGAGGGAGGAGGGGTACCTCAACTGCTCAACAATTCCCTTAGGAGGGTTACCACGCCTGAAAATGTAGTCACTGTTGGCCCAAAGATTGGGCTAAGCTTTCGCTCAGAATCCCTATCGCTATGGTTCGTCGCCCAATTCGAAACCAGCAACTAAACATCGGCGACACATGGCTTCTGCCACACTCGATCGACGCCCCTCCGTCAGCCGGCTTCCAGTCCTGCCAACGACAAGACTTCCACAACACCCATCACCTTTGCCAGCGCGCTGACCTAGGCCGCCTCCACCGCGCCGCCCGCCGGCTTCCCTGTCGAATCCGACCTAAGGGAGTCTGGGTAGGGAACAACATTGCCTCAGCAACCTGAGTTTTCCTTATGGACTGACCACCGCCTCTAGCCTGCCAAGAAGCTTCCCACAGAGAAGGGGAGGAGCTCCCCAAACAGGGTTAGCCTGGCCGACGGCATGGAAGACAACCCTGCCGCCAGCGCCTTCTACCCTGCCGCCACTCCCTAGCACGCTGACCCAGGCCGCCTCCACGTCGCTCGTCGGCCTCTACGTCGAATCCGACCTATGGGACCGGACCAGGAACAACCTCGCCTTAGCAACCTGAGTCTTCCCTGTATGCCAGCCAACACCTCCACCGTGCCTAAAAGCTCCCCACAAAGAAGGGGAGGAGCTCCCCAAACACAGTGAACGCGTGGCCAACCACAAGGAAGATGACCTTGTCGTCAGCGTCCTCTACCCCGCCGCCAAGCCCAATAGCGGCCTCACCGAAGCCACTACTCCGCCGCCACCTCACCGCCCACCAACGGCCACCCGGGCCGCCCAGTGTCTTCGGTCACGCCTCCAGCCGCCTCTACGCCTCCGGCAAATGTGTCCAGCATCCCGGCCGCTGCACCGCATCCGGCACCGGCGCCACCGCTTCCAGTGTCGTCGACGCCGACGCCGTGCAGCCTCAGCTGCAGCCGACGCACCGCAGCCGCGCCACCTTCAGCCGCAGTCGCCGCCGGCCCGGCAGCCCGCGCCTCCAGCCGCCGTCGGGGAGTCGCGCCACCGTCTGACCGGCCGCGCGGCCCTCGCTCCGAAGTTGCCGCCGCCGTTGCGCTGCCCTCGTGTCGTCGTCGCCGTCCCAGCCCAGATCCGGCCAAGGGAGGGTCGAATCCCGGCTCGCCGGCGCTGGATCTGGGCGTCGACGCCGGCGCCGTGCTCCCGTCATCCGGTCTCGCGGTGCCCCAACCGTTGCACCAGGGCGAGGGAGAAGAGGAGCCCCGCCGCAGCCGTCTTTGCAGCCGCCTGGCTTTGCCGGCGGCTGCAAGGTGGGAGAGAGGAGGGGAAGAGAGAGGCGGCGGCGTTTTCGCCGCCCGCGTCGCCCCTGGGACGGAGTGACGGAGCGCCGTTACTTAGGGCTGTCAACGAGCCGAGCTCGAGCGAGTTTGGCTATGTAGGCTTGAGCTTGACATGAACTCGAGCCGAGCTCGAGCCGAGCCTGGATATTGATCGAGCTTGGGAGTGAGCTCGAGTTCGAGCTCAAGCGAGCTTCGTGCCTACTCGAGCTTGACAGCTTGACTTGGTGAAACTCCAAAGAATTTACTCTTGTATAAGAGATATTAATGCAAATTATCGGTAGTCAAAATTAATGAGTGCTACTTGTCTTGAATGAAGCCTCTGCAGCTTTTCTCATGAATTCATGGATTTGAAACATTGCAATTAACAAAAGCTAGCTACTACATCTAATAGGAATAGTAGTACTATTACTAGCAACCGGATAATTGCTTTATTAAGAAGCATTGATGAGGTCTTGAGACTTGAGCAGGTCAAGCACGATGATAAGTATACATTGACCCATTAAGAACATCTTCCTACATGCAATGTATCTTATGCTAATCAAGCCATGCCGAGCTATTCGAGCTCGAGCTTACTAGGCTTGCGAGCCTTAGCCTAGGCTTGAGCTTGGCTTGTCTAGTATTCGAGCCGAGCTCGAATCAAGCCTATAACGAATCAAGCTCAAGCAGCTTGCGAGCTTCGAGTTTTTTTGACAGCCCTACCGTTACTTATGTTATACTTCGCACTATCATCTTCTGAAACTGCTGACCCCTTTGCTTGCAACTATATGGAATTGCAGCTAGGCGCCGATCGTTGGGTAACTGCGGGCCTGTGTGGTTCTCCGGCTGAGGCTTAGCTGGGCAAGGATTGCATAGTCTCGCTGAGGCAAGAATTGGATCCCAGTCACCAGCCAAGCATTCCATCCGTTGGCCTTATAGCAGAACAATCCGGCAGGCAGGCGGCAGGCAGTCAGGTGGTACAAGCTAGTAGATGGAGAGCCAGCTCTATCATTGGACATGGGCAGAGTGGCCGCGCAATGCAAAGCCAATTTATACTCCACAGCGATTTGTGCAGCATGCATACGCTGCGCCAGGAAATGATGGCCAAACTGCAGGCCCAACCTTACATGTTGCTGCCTCTCTTGTGATCTTGTCTTCCCCCAACTTTTGCCCTGAACTATGGCGCGTCTCCTGCGTACAGCTATATCTTGCATAGTCGCATAGAGTTTGTGATGCGCATTGTTGCCGTTGACCGTCCTGTTCCTAGTTTGAGGTTTAAAACCTACAGATAGCACACAGCACCTTTGTAATTTTTTCCTACTCTATTCAACGAATCATCGCTCGGTCTGGTGCTGCTGATCGTTCAAAAAAAATCACAGTATAAACACATAATACGAACCACGGCGATAAAGTTGGTTTTAACCTTTCAAAAGTCTTATCAGAGTATCAGTTACATTTTGCATAGGCCTTAATTTACAAGAATGATTAATCTACCCCTGCAAGAAAGGCGCTATAAAATATTTACAGCTGCTATGTGACAGGGCACCCTTTGACAACCCACACGATATTTACAGCAAAATCGCTTCGGCATCTCCTGAAATCAATGGGAACAGCGTCAGAAACGGATAGCATGTTCAGACGGAAGAAGTTAACGGTAGGTAAATTTGATGTGCTTACCGTGACGGAAATCCAACCAAGAAGAATCTAGCAAGGATCAAAACAATCTACTTGAGCAGCATCTGTGTAAGCGAAGAACACTTGTTGAAGTTTAGCCAGTAAGACAACAGCCCCATAGAGCCTGGTGTCGCTGGCTGACGAACATCAGTTTCTCGTCTTTGTAATGCTCTCACAAATTCCTCCGAGCTCAAGTTCCCATCATGATTTGTATCAAACACATGGAAAATGATGTCAACTACTCTGTCAGTTAAGTCAACACCACAAACCTACATCACAAACCAAAAAGGGAATGGAATCGCTTAGTGGATGCACAATGGTGATAGTAATCAAGTATTGAGCAGCAGGAGTTATCAGTTTAGTAAGTGAGCATTAAGATAACAAAAAAACCATGGAGACCATTTATTTGATCAAGAAAAGCCTCAAAATCAATTCTTTTGCTTGGAGATATCGAATTTAAGTACGATGAACTTAGTAGCCAAACTTACATGGTGCGCTGCACGCTTGAGATCCTGCTTTGTCAACAGCCCATTTACTTTCCCATAAGTAAAGATAGCCATCGCCAGTGGCTCCAATCTTCGTCGCAAATCAGCAAAGGATTTAAACTCCTAAAGACCCCAAGGAATATCAGCAATGAACTAAGGATCAAACAAGGAAAAAGAATTTTAAAGAAAAGTACAGCTTGGGATCATGCAAAAGTCAAACCTCGAAGGTGATGCGCACTCCTTTGAGATCAGGATCATTGCCTAAATTATCAACTCTATCAAGTAGCTTGTTGATGTGATTCATGTCAGCAGAAGCAACCATGGATAATGCGAAATCCTTTGCTGGGATAGTATTAGATGACTTGACGTCATAGTGACTGAATTCCAGACGAATGATCTGCAGGTGAATGGATTAAGAGAGATTCAGAATTGCGCATAGGAAACATCTACTAACAAATAATTGTACAGATTCTTTTGTTCTTTTATGTACGTTGATCAATAACATCAGTATGTAGTATGTACCACTAGCTAGCTTACTGATATAGTGATATATTCCTACCAAAAGGAATGAGGATACAAAGTTTCAGCAAGTATAGAGACGATGAGGGCACGCAGACACAATATGCTACGTTGGAACCTTTGGTCATATATGATAAAGTTAGGTGTTTTTAGTTCAGAAACATGTAAAACATATGGAGATGTGTGTTATACATTTCACAATGCAAATACGGTCTCAGACTCTCAGTTTAATTGAGTCGTAAGACAGTTATTAGAATGGGTATTCATGACAAGTCATTGGACTAAATTCTTACAGAAATTGAAGAACAGAAGAAATGAATCACCTCGTCATGCAATCCTTTCAAAAAATTTGTAAACTTGTCATAGTGTAGAGGTTCGTTCCCATCATTACCAAAGAAGTATTCAACCACTCCACCATTTTCCACAGGCTGACCAACTTTTAGTCCAGTACGTAAGCCATCTCTATGGTTGGCTCCTTGTCTGTTATAGGATCGCATCAGTGCCATTACTTTCTTGAACTCTTCTTTGTCTATCTCCCTGAAAATGACAAGTAACAGATAAGGACAACAAAATAACAGAGAATAAGCTGGCCAAAATTTGTTCATACCCTTCTTTTACCATCAACTAACAAGTCAGATGCTCATAAAGAGCTGGTCTTTTCTGGACGAGAAGAGAAATTAACTGCATGCGAATGGTCACAGGTAAACAACAATATAGCACAAACAAAGGCAATATTTAAACGTGTCCTTGTTTATGCACAAATCCAAGAGCACAAAAGGAAACATACCTTTAGCAGCTTCAGTAATAAAAGGTGTACACATGAAAAGAAAAGGAATGCTGAACTAAACCACCAAAAATGGTATATACAGTAACCTATTGTTTTTACCATTAACTAACAGATGTGGTGATGTTGTTAAACATGCAAACATATCAGGTTTATTAATTAAAGAACAGTTATATGGCAGATGCATATCATCATTCTAGCAGCAGGGTCATATTACTAGACCAAGACTAGTAATACTAGAAACAGGGCAATATGAGGTACCGAGCAGATGCATATCATTCTGACAGCAAGACATGTTGCTAGAACAAGTGCGATAGTAGAAATAGAACTCACCCGCTGTGGTCAACGTCAAACATTTTGAAGGCCGCACTGAAACTTGACTCAGGGATGCTGAGCAATGTCACAAAAAAGATGTACCTAGAAAACCACCATAAGCATAATCAGCATCAAGCCTACTTAGAAATTGAACCTAAGCCAATGATAAAATAGGGTGCAAATATTTATGATATTGACCCAAGGGATCTTCATCTATAAGTCTCAAAGGGAATCATGCAAAGATCCCAGCGGCAGTATTTAGGAAAAAGTTAAAACCCTTTAATTGAAACATTCTGAAAACACTCAAGTGATTTAAGTATTACACCTAGTGTGGATAAAATACACTTACTCGGCAAAGGAGATGAGCCTATCACCGTTTGTGTCAAACAGCATGAAGAACTCCGATGGAGCACAGTGCAACTCTCCAGGATTGCGTTCCCCCCTTAATCTTCCCTCCCGAACTATGTTCGACTCCGATGGAGGGAAAACAGGAACTACTGCTCTCATCAAGTCAGCAGGCAACATGAATACTTCCCCTTCCGGGTTCCGCACAGACGCGAAATATTCAAAGATCTACTCGCAGAAACACCTGAATTAGGATACCACAAGCCGACCAACACAAATTAAGCGGGTTTTACACTTAATGAACCAAATTAATTACCTTTTCAGGAGGGCTGAGCAGCCGTATCCGTTTCTCGTAATTGAAGAACACCCTTCTGCGGAACGAGTCTGTGGAAGAAAAGCAATTAAAATCATTAAACCATTCTACAACTTCACTGAGCAGTTGAGTTCAACGCGCAAATATAATGGTAGTGAGAAGCATTAACGCACTCAGACAGAAGCAGAAAGCGCCAAAGACTTTCCTAACACTACAAACGGCCGCATCATCTAGTTTGGATTTTCTCTTCGGATGTTTGTCACTTATCGCTTATCTGCAGATAGATCAGCGCAGCAAAGAAATCGTCGTACGGATCGCAGATCACCACCAGCTCATCCCAGCAATTAAAGTGCTAAAAAGACGATCGGAAAAGTAGCAGCGACGCTACGGACGCAAACTGTTTACGGGAGAGAAATCAGAGAACATGACAAAGCGTCCGTAAAGCTTAGTAGAGAAGTAAAGGAAACAAGCATCACGGGACAACGGCGGCGGCGGCGGCGACGCGCAAACCGATCGGACGCACTCCATGAGAACAATCGCGAGATCAATCGTGAAGCGGGAAGCAAATCGCGGAGGGGGGATAAGAAGCAAAAGCGAAGCTCACCTCCGAGGAGGAACCTCCTCTTCCGGCCTCGCTCCTCCACGGCGCCTACCGCGCCGGAGCCGGAGCCTACCGAGATCTGTACCGCCGGGGCGTCGGCCACCGCCTCGCCGGAGTCCGCGAGCGAGGGGGGCACCAGCCACAGACCCAGGCCGGACCCCACCACCGCCACCGCGGCGGCGGCCAGCGCCCCCTCGCGGCCTCCCGCCGCAGCGCTCGACAGGAAGCCGCGGGAGGACGCCGCCGCCGGCCGTCGGGCGGCGGAGCGGAGGAGGAGGAGGAGGGCCGCGCCGCGGGGGAGGAGCGGAGGAGCCATGGGGGAAGCGTCGGGATCGGCTCGGTGGGTCTTCGGCTTTGGAGATAAGAACGAACGAGGTGGTGGTTACGCGCTTCCGCGGAGTGGGAGGAAGAGGAGGAGGCGGCGATGCGTAGGTGTGCGTGTGCGTGCGCGTGCGGCGGAGGATAGGAGGAGAGGAGAGGAGACGAGGAGAAAATAAAATGCGGGTCGGGGGCGAGTGGGTGCGGGTGGGCCTCGTTTTTGTTGTGGTGATGAAGTTTACTTGACTTTGCGGTTTTTCTTTCTTTTTTTTTTTTTTGCTACGTCCACAGCGGAAAAGCTGTTATGCTGTGCACACGAAGAAGCATCTCGCTTTGCACTTGGTACTACTGTACTTTCTGAAAAAGCTTCTCCTAGTATACATCAATACAATGGTCTGCACACGGATTGGAGTCGTTGCAATTTTTTAGTCAGCGGTCTGGTTTATACGGAAAGTTTATATGGTATATATACGTCAGAAAGGTGCTTACATTCAGAAAGGATTGTTTGTGAGCTTAAAATTTTAAAAAATACTCTATCCGTCCCTAAATATAAGGGATTTTAGTTGGATGTGACATATCCTATTACAACGAATCTAGACAAGAAGTCTTTCCAGATTCCTTGTATTAGCATGTGTTACATATCCAACCTAGTTTATAGGCGGTTTCTGAGAATTTTAAAAAATTGGGTTCCCAGTTAATGGCTTCTACAAGTACAGCTTCTTAGGCCCTGTTTAGATCCTCCAAAATGGCAAAAGTTTTGTCATTTTGTAGCACTTTTTGTCATTTTAGATCTAAACACTAGTAGCAAAAGTTGGCAATTTGACATTTGGCATTTGCTAGTCCATAGTAGCAAATTGTGCCAAAAAGTCCATAGTAGCAAATTGTGCCAAAAAGTGCTTTGGGACCACTCCCCATCTCTTTCTCTCTTTCACTTTAGTGCTAGAATGGCAAAACTTTAACATGCATCTAAACACTAACTAGTACTTTTGCCACCAAAACTTTTACCATTTGCCATTTGCCATTCCAAATGGATCTAAACAGGCCCTTAGAATCTAAACCAAAAGCTAAAATGTTTGGGGAGATTCTAATTTTAAAATAAGCTGTAGTAGCTAGAGTTTAGCTCTTAGAGATAGATGGCGATGTGTTCCCTCAATAAGTTGGGATAGTTAATGATCAACATAGACAAGCAATAATGTTGGGAGATACAGCTACTCACGGTGTTAGCATGGAGTGGAATATACCCTTTATTCAAAAATAAATCAACTCTTTGATGTTCAAATTTTATCTTAAAATAAATTAACTTCTACATTTTTATCTACACTTGATTTACAAATCAAAATTTTTTTTATTTCTTTAATGTCGCCTACCTACCTACTACCAATAGTACTACTCTATCTATCCCAATTTAATAGTTACCTACTCACTCTGTCTTAAAATAACTTAACCTATAAAGAATATGTTGTGATATATTCTAATACAACAAATCTGAATAAATGCATGTCTAAATTCATCGTACTATCATATATTACATCCTATCCTAGCTTGAATTATATTGGGATAGAAGGGACAAGTAAGGAGCGCAGAGACTAAAGACAATAAAAACCTCCTTCATCCGTATGAAATTAATCATCATCGGTTAAACTATTGTGACACTTCATGCCCCGTGGATTGCATCATGTTTAAAATATTGCATGGAGTGGCACCAATAAAAATTAATCATGGTTGGTTACATGTAGCATATTTAATGATACATATTTACTCTTTACAAATAAACAAAGAGCACTTATTATAAGATGATCATTTTGGGAAGACCTCAGAAACCTCAAATGATGATCAAATTGTGAGAAAGGGAGTAGTTCACTGCTATTAATGAGGAATATTTTGATTGTTGTCCTCTCCTTTAATTTTACCTTTTGACAGAGGGATTACATAAAAAACACAGTGGTGGTCTTTTCTTCTCAAGATGCAGATTTTTCATTGAATTACGTTAGCACGTTTTTCAATATGGTATGCTTTATGCAAAAACTTTCTATATAGAAGTTGATTTAAAATATCAAATAAATCAAATTTTGAGTTTGTAATAATTAGAAATCAATTAATGTATGTGTTAATGATTTTCTTATTTTACTTGCCCTGACTACATATTCATCTTCTCTCCGATAAATTCATGTTTACTCCGTTTTTAAAAAAAAGATGGAGATGCTACTTCTCCTAGTACAATACAGTAGTAAAAAATCAGCTCTTGTCCAGAACGGAGGGAGTAGGGCGGGACCCAATTGCATTGACCGTAGGCCGTTACCACCGTTTTTTTTTTCTTTTTTGCGTTCCACAAGTCTCCCTGAGGGGCCAATGATTTGCGTGCAAGATTAAATCTTGGGAATTGGGAGAAACTGGCCTCAGGGTCCAGGTGCCACCGGCCAGCGTTGACGGTTCCCGCGTCCTACGGAAGAAATTGAATTCTGATCCCGTCTCTGTCGGTAGGTCCCAACGCTTCACAACATGGCACCCGGGGCCCACCTGTAACAGCGTCAACGTCGCCGGGCGCCGCGGCGCCGGTGGTTTTGCCCGGGAGGGGGGACGCGGGGCGCCCACCGGAGCGCTGCAACCACCGCAAAACGGCCCACGGTTCTGGAAGATGCAGCCAATTTCAGGTGCGATTTGGTTCCGTGGCCACTCGGATCCAACCAACTGGACGCCCATCGCAACGTCCAGTCGAGCGAGCCTGAACCCTGCACGGAGTGCACGCCTGCACGGTGGTTCCTGCTTAAGATAAATTGCGTTGGATCTGGTCTCCCTCCCAACACTGTCATCAACATGGCAATCAAGTCATCCACGAGGAGGACGGAGCAAAGTACGCCAACTTGCAAGTTGCAAATCAGCTCATCACGGTGGCACCACTTGAGTGCTTTGGCTGTTACTTGCGCATTTCAGTGGATGAAAATTCTGCTGGAGATCGGTTTCACAAAAAAATTCTGCTGTAGATAGTCCCTTGTCTTTTTTGTCTTTTTTTTTTTTTTGACTGACGGAGTAGGAAGTTGGATTTCATGTACCCTCATGTTCAGGTTATTTGATATGGCCTAGTTTGCGGCCTTACCACTTACTACATGTGCCTTTACGATAATATCATAACTTAGGTGCTCTTTTTTCCTAATTTAGACACAGACTCGGAGAGACCCATATTCCAGGCAGAAAATCGAAGAAATCATATGCTCCATCCGTCCCCTAATATAAGGGATTTTGATATTTTGCTTACACTGTTTGACCACTCGTCTTATTCAAAAAATTTGTGCAAATATAAAAAACGAAAAGTTGTGCTTAAAGTACTTTAGGTAATAAAGTAAGCCATAAATAAAATAAATAATAATTCTATTATTTTTTTTTTGAATAAGATGAATGGTCAAACAGTGCAAGCAAAATGTTAAAATCCCTTATATTAAGGGACGGAAGTGTCGCTCCATGTTATGCTCATCACGTTGTGTTAGTTTACATTCATAGGTATTTGTAAGAACTTTTGATGTATCGTTTTTAGGAGTAATTGCAAGTTGGGAGTTGGCTTGGGACACATCTACTGAAATTCAGATGTTCAGACCATAGAAAACAAGACACATACACATAATCAGTTTCCATGGGAAAAAAAAAAGAAGACACATAACCAGGCTCATTGCACTCATGGTATTAACAGCGTCAGTGGGATGAAGAAGATATTGTACAACATTCTCAAACTTGATGTACAAGCACAAGAACGGCCCCACCATGTATACGCGCCCCCAAGTTTCATCCCTTCGACAGCCGGCTGTATGCTGGTAACTGCTAGTCTGCTACTGATCACAAGCTTTACAGAACAGGTACAGATGAAATCAAAATAACTCTCCGATCCAACGGGGACGGACCAAGCAACAGTAGGACAATACAGCACTGGGATATGAAGTGATAAGAAAGCCAACTATACACACCGAGCTGATAATTCTCTCCAAAATAGTCTGTGTTCATGCGCGTGCCATCAATGGAGTTGTTGACTCCGAGGATGTCTGAACGATCCGCTTGCATAGAGCATCTGATAAACTGGCTTTATCCTCGCTATGAAAACCACACTCACTAGGGTTCCACAGCAACAAACGATGGCACAAACGTAGAAGGTAAGCCTGAAACAGTCAGGCCCAAGGCAGGTTGAAGGTTCCAACACGCCTGGCTGCTGCTTCGCCGCTTCCTTGTCATAGATATAACCAGCGAGAAGAGCTGAGAAGAAGAATGCACCTAGGGGATTCACTAACAACATGAAGTTGTACATCAACCCAAAGTCCTTCAACCCAAAAAGTTCTGAGACTGTCGGGATCATGACAGCAAATTGGACACCGTAACATATGCCCAGAAATGTTGTTGACACATAAATCAAGCTATGAAGGCCAGTTGCGAAAAGGAGGAAGGTTATCACCATGATTATTTGTGTGCACATCATCCAGAAAGGGCGAGGAAGCATTCTTGACCTGCAATCAGGTTTTACTCGAATCATTTTACAGAAGCAGCAACTAATAGTTATCAAGCATGTAGCTTAACAACAAGAGTAAAGAAAAAATCATAGGATTGTGGATGACTAGGAATATGCAAAGTGATTGCCAGTCTGCAGGAGATAAATATCAGCGGCCAGCTCATCTGAGTAGTCTGCCAGGATTTCACAGGAAGTGCTGAGGTGATAGTGGCTTTTGGCCTCATATGGTCATATGGAGTAATATCAGTACATCACAGTAGGCAAGAACAGAAAATGTTATGTCTTTGGCTTATGTTAGTTGCTATATATGTCAGCTATGCAATGATAGAAATTGAATGAATAAAGTAATTGCAAAGTGGTTAAAGGGAGCTGACCTTACGAAATATTCAGAGACAGACCCACCAAGGATACGGCCAACAAAGTTGCAGAAGCCGAAGAGGCACAACAAGATAGTAGTATCATCAGCACCAACAGCCATCCCAACCTGAGCTAGGTTGTTCAGAACAGTGACACCAGTTCCAACTCCACAAAAGTACACAATAAATAGTAGCCAAAAGTCTGCCTTAACCAATGCTTCTCGGAATGTGAAATCGTCCCCCCTTCTAGGCCCTCTTTTCTTTTTCAAATTCACGGCTCCCTCACCCTCGGCCAAAAGAAGATCCACATCAGTAGCCTCATCAGAATCGTTGGCTCCAGTGACAAATGTTGAAGTGCCACCAAGAAGTGGTTCTGAATTCTCTTGATCCGGACCAGACAAACTATCAGTCGAATAAGACAGTGCAAGGGTGCTAGTCTTTTCCCTTTTTGGTTTGTTTGGATAAATAGTCATTTTTATTGGTATTGCCAGTGGAGAAAGGAGCAAAAGTATCATTATACCAAACAAAAGGTAGGTAATAGCGTCACTTAGTTTTAAAGTATCACCGAGAATTGTAGCTACCATAAGATATACACCGAGAACCACACTAGAGATCTGTGTGAACATGAAATGACTGTGCTCTGCTGCGTTGTCCTCATCCAGTGATGGAGTGCAAGGCCTAACAAAATACATCACCAGAACACATGCGGTGGGGATCCCCAAAGCAAGCAACAGCAAAAGGTTTGTGGGAGAGTTCTGAAGCATTCCATTAAATGTTTCTGTGTAGACAGCAGCACTCACAGCAACATAGCCCTTGATCAGACCAGCAACAGTTCCCCGGCTGAGAGGAAAGTTCCTCATATTGGTCACAAGTGCAGCGGTGCCCAACCATGCGCTGCTGTTTGTGCCAATACATAAGGCTATGCACAACTGCAAGAGGCATCCAACAAAATATGCTAAATATAAAAAGACTCGCTTGAAAGTATGAGCTACAACATGAGCAAGAAATATCAGATATGGACAACTCATCAGGCATTTGAGACAGAATTTTACCAAGATGCGGTTCCATGATTTAGGAAGCTAGTCAGCATTTAACACTAGTCAGCATTTTCGTACTTGCCAACATTAGTCAGCATTTTCGTACTTGCCAACATTACAGATATAAAAGTTCTATGCACGTAACACTAGTCAGCATTTTCGTACTTGCCAACATTACAGATAAAATATTTATGGTAAACAACCAATTGCCTTCTAAGCGTGTGCATAATTTATTTTCTTTATCAGATCTCTCCATAAGGATAGCATGCACGTGTACTGCTCGCCTGATTTACATTTACTAGTACATAAAAAGGGAAAAGAGACATGATGATCGATTTTTTTGGATCTTTGGAGATTCAGAACATTTACAATTACAGGAAATTCTTGCAACATTCAAAGAAAATAAGTGCCTTAATAGTGGCTTCTTTGTGAGACAATTCTACTTTGTTGGAAAAACTATGCGGTTAATGGAGTATCTTGATTCATGAATTGAGTATGTTGAACATATCAGGACGATCATGAAACTAAAAAGGGACTAATTTTGTCCAAGAAGTTCATTCAGCGGCTGAGATTTTGAAGATGAAGACACTGATTGTAAAGTGACTGGTGTTTCTATGGAAATTCTAGTGAGCTCTGAACTTAAAAAAAGTATCAAATGTCGACTAGGAATTCCATATCATTTTGGCAAAAAATTATTTACAGTGATTAAAAAGTTACAGTGTAATACCAATATCTTGTTGGATTGATTAAATCTTGGCTCAAAACAACAAACATTTTTTCCCTAAAACAATACGATACGAATGCAAAAAAGCAATACAGTAGGTCTAATGTATGTCTCTAAATTGTGAAAACATTAATATATACAGAATGGGCTGGCATTTTAGAGTTTAGACATTCAGGGTCACAAAAAAGCAACACACAAGCAAATATAATAATAATAAACAGCTACACAACACAAGACCAGAACATGTTTACCAGTAAGTGTATAAAGCTAAGGATGCATGAACTTCACTGTTTTTCTTTGGCTTGCTTTTACATTGTCAATGTATTTTGTAATGGAAAAAGTCCCAACAAAAATTGTGTTCATACCAACTTCAGCAATAACCTTCCAGTGGTCACAAACACCAATGAATGACATCCCCAGGCGTTGCAGGTCAGATGGCTATTCAAAGTTGAAAATCACCAAAAGTTGAGCAACCATCACATTCAGGAATCTCAATCATGTTGTATTGGGTATTTGGGTGTCAGCCAATGCTTCAATCAAGTAATACGAACTTAGACCATGTAAAATAAAGAGACCCCTAATGTAATCTCCTACAAATCTGACTCATCAAGATTCAAGAATAACCTCACGTACAACCTATATGATCTCTAACAGTTTGTCTCTATCATAAATGCCATTATAATTCCCCTTCTTTTAATCGCATACTCACCTCAGAACTCTCAGTCTTGTGTGTCGGTGTCCTCTCTCATATCGTCTCTTGTATAAGAGATGACACGTTCTCTCACTTCACCCCCTTTCTCTGCCACCTACTTTTTTTTTAATATATATAACATGGCAATCATAAGAGACAACCTAGATAGCACTACTAAGCATGCCTTACTACTTATATTTTGACCTCCTCATTTATGGCATAATCTTTATATATGTGGCACACACAGATAATATAGTTTTCTGTTGCTGCTGCAACAGAAAACTCATGTAAAACTGAACAGTAAATGTCTTTACATGTGATATTTTTATGCAATTTACTAAAACCAGAATTTTGAACTGATTAAAGTCAGCCTTACTGCTTCTTGAAAATAACTTTAGGGCATTAACTTGCCAAAATCTGTCACCAACACTTAAAACTATATAAGAAGTTGTAGGGATGCGAATACACCAGGTCACCAGCTCGAGTTGGCAGATTTGCGAAATTAAAGTTCTAGGTTTGCTGTGGCTCTCAGTACCGGAACCAATTGTGCCCCATTTGCAAGCATGATTGTTTAAATAGTCAACAATTATTCACCTAAAGAATGGACCAAAGTCTGACATGTTCTACCGAATGGCAGGAAGTAAAGAACTACATATGCCACATTTGGTTTCACGCTTATTCTAGGAAAATATCTACCGGCGTTGTTGTCAATCATACAGTTAAAAAACTCGCACATCTTTCAACATTCTACAGATGCCGCTAGTCGATCATCACCTTCGACATTCGTTCAGTCAACCAAGCCATATCCAGAAATTACGCTCCAAAAGGACAATAATCGCTTTTTTTTTAAAAAAAGATAAAATTGGGAATTTGAGAGCTACTTCGTATGTGCTAAAATTTTAGGTCCCTCAATAAAAAACTGTTCATCATCATCCCTCAATCTCCTCCCCGATGAGGAGCTCAAATCAGGCAAAAACAGCAAGAAATCCCCACGCAAACAAGCAAAAGCCAAGACGAGCACACAATCACTGAAAGGGCGAGGGCGGGAGGCTACGTACCACCCAGTACGGCATGACGAGGGTCTTGGTGACGGCGAGCCAGAGCGTGCCGAACCCGAGCAGGGCGCAGGCGGAGCCGATAAGGAGGATGAGCCACGGCGGGAGGCGGTTGGCGAGCACCCCGGGGACGAGCCCCACGTTCTCGCCGACGTCGTTGGCGACGCCGAGCATGGTGAGCGCCTTCTGGTTGTACCCCAGCGCCTCCTTGATGGCGTGCGAGTAGAGCGGGAACACGTACGCGCTCCCCGCCGCCACCTGCACCCACACCGCCGCCGCCAGCCCCACCCACGGCGGCCGGCTCCCCGCCTTCACCTTCCCCACCCCTCCCCCTCCCCCTCCCCCTCCTCCGGCCATCCCTCCACGCCCCCCTCTCCTCCGCCCGCCTAGCTAGCTCACCGCCGCTTGCGCCACCGTATATATCGTGCGGCGCCTCCCCGTCGGCGGCGGTGGCGCGACGAGGAGAATGGGGGGAAGCTGCTGCCGACGTGGCCGGTGGTTCACTGCCTTTAGGATTTTTTTTTCTTTTTCTTTTTGGTAGGAGAGGGAGAGCTCACTTGGGGAGCAGAAATGATGGCTGCTTCGGTTGCTGTGGCCTGTGGCCTCTATATTGGCAGACTAGCCGGCGCCACTCAAAAATTTGTTCTCTTTTTGAGGAGGAGAATTTGGATGGATCGTGGATGAGTTCAGTCGAGGAATCCCGTTTTGTTCTTCTTTCTACTTGCTCCTGAAAGAGATGCGCATGGCTATGTTCCTGTCATCTTTACACCCATCGAAATAGAATTTCGTGCTGTGTTCGGCTAAATGTGATGGGAACTAATCTCTTACGTACGCATAAACGACATGATTTATTAGCACACATTTAATTAAATATATTTTTTTAATAAAAATAGAAAAGATGACCGTGCGTAACGGGTAAAAGCTATTTAAATCGTTTTATTGTTAGATTTTTTTTCCTAAAAAATATATGGGATTTTTATTTTGATAGTATTGATATCTAATTCAGAATCCTTATTAGGATGATGGTTACATCCTGTACTTTGCTTTCTTATGACCTGGTGAGAATTCTAAATAAATTAGGAATCCGTCTTCTCATTCTAAGTTAGCATGCGAAATTTTTAAAAGGAATTTTTATACGACTACTTTTGTATTTTTAAAAACGAACGAACTTAAAAGCTGACTTAAATACGGACGACGTACCATAGTATCAGTGGAAACATCTTCAAATTTTATAATAAAAGGTAGAGATAATTTCTATAGAACTTTTTTTTTGGCAAAATACACTGTACATGAAAAACGAGAAAGTAATGATTGAGAAAGTTGAGAGAATAACGAAACCCAGTCATCAGCTCAAAGAAAGAGTGAATAATATGGTCACGCTAATGATATAAGTACCTGTGTACAGAGTACAGTATTCACTTACTACTCGTTGCTCGTTTATATGTCTGTTTTTAATTTCCACTGACAATGGAGTTTAAGAATTTATTTTCATGGTTGCTATGGAAATTTTAATGAATTGACTCTTGTCGGTTCTATGTACATGGCTGCTTATATTTTGCTTTGGAATGAAGGCCTGAAGGGAGTAAAAAACAAAAAGTAAATTGCATTGAATCATGGGTATCGTCGTTTAAGGTGTACAAAATCTCAGAGATTATGGATCCTGATACATAACTCCAAATATTATAGAAGCGGTGTTCCATAAAACCATAAGCCAAACAAACGATACCTAAATCTGACATGTAGATTCCGTGAGTTCTTTCATCCACCATACTCTGTGAGCATATATGTAATAGTTTCATCCCATATGTGAGAGCATCTAAGAGTTTCATACCACATGTCAGATTTGAGTAGACTTTATCAATTGTGTGGTATTGTACAAAATAGTATCATAATATTTGGGATTATATGCTACATGTAAGAATCTCTCTGATTTTATACATCTTGGGGGTGTACTCAGGGTCTTATGCAATTTACTAAAAGAACATATCCAATTATCCATCTGTAAGCTGGCATTTTTATCAGGATGTTTGTATTGAGATGTGCCTATGACCTCCGGTCCACTGCAAATTTCAAAATAATTATACATTATTGAATTGCTGCTTACTCTCCTTTATTGTTTTAGTGCTGAGATATAAACGTCACCATATTCGTGGTAATTTCATCAGGATTTTATGAGATCCAAAACATCACAATCAACCACATGACTATTTCATCTCTGCAATATTGCACATGCAACATAGTACACCGACAAATCTCATCATTGTTAAATACATGAGTATCCATGTCCAACATTGACCGTCCGTCTTATTTAAAAAAGTGTATGAAAAAATTTTAAAAAATTAGTCACACATAAATTACTATTATGTTTTATCATCTAATAATAATAAAAATATTAGTCATAAAATAATTTCAAATAAAACAAACGATCAAACGTTAAATATGAACAATACAAAACTGTATTTATTTTGTGACAGAAAGAATAGTTGGGATATTGGATAATAATTGCAGACAGACATAAACGGAGAGCCTGCAATTACTCCATTTTATTACTCCCTCAAAGTATATTTGATTTTATCCGCGGTAGAGTTTTTATCCTTTGCTTTTTTTTCTAGATACGTTATATATAGTTAAACATATACAGTCATACTCCATGCTATTACTCTCTCCATTTTGAAAAGGTATGATATTGAATTTTTTTACGTGGCGTTTAGCAAATTCTACTATTTAAAACTTAGTGTACACATGAAAATAATATAAGATAAGCCATGCATAAAGTAGCTTACTCCCTCCGTCCCAGAATATAAGAAGTTTTAGAGTTAGACACGGTTATTAAGAAAGTATATAGAAGTGAGTGGTGGAGGGTTGTAATTGGATGGGTAGTGGCGGTAGGTACGAAAAGTGAATGGTGGAGGATTGTGATTGGTTGGGAAGAGAATGTTGGTGGAGAAGTTGTTATATTTTGGAACAAATCCTAAGAGCTAAAACTTATTATATTTTGGGACGGAGGGAGTAGATAATAAAACAAGTCACATCAAAGTAAATAGTTATTATATTTTTTTTAAAAAAAAATAAGACTAATGGTGAAATGTATTGTGTAAAAGTCAGTGACATTATATGTTTTTCCAAAAAAAAATAGCATTATATAATATTTAACAACGGAGTTTAGTATCTAAACTCACTATATATATCATGACAATGGTTATGGTTATGGTTTTCATTTTAACTACGTACGTCAAGCGCCGTGGAAAAGATCAAAATTCTCTTTACAGAATATGCTTTCCTTAAACACGAAAGGAAGATCAGAATTTTCATAAACAATATGATGCCGCGTGCTCCTCTGTGATAATTGATAAGGACATTTATCCATTAGTTAATCGTCTAGTACATCTATGTGCTCCACATGGAGGAATAATTATATTAACAGTGTTTCATTAGAACACTCTATTATTACCATGGTGTCCAGGGGTACAACTCATGTGTTGTTACGTACTCCCTTCATTCCAAATTGATTTATATATTTCACAGGCATACTCCCTTCATTTCAAATTGATTTATATATTTCACAGGCACACTAAGACCAAGAAAAGCTAATAACTCTCTCATACTATATTTACTCTAGCAACAAACTCAATGCATGCACCATCCCCACTATTTCCTAGCCAATAGCAAATCAAGATATTGCATATGGGTTATAAATACTTGTGTGCAAGGATGCATGCATCAATTTCTATTTACTCTAATGCATAAATAACGAATAGACTTAATGAATGAACATAAATATGTAGATTATTTAGAAATACCATAAAAAAAACTATATATAGATTAATTTGGAATGAAGGGAGTACCTCTTTATGTAAAAACTGTTTTAGGGTTTGACTATAATAAAAGAGATGTTAACAATACAGGTAAACGGACTCGATGAGACACTGACACTCGCATGGCCTTATAATAATCAATCATCGTCGCAGATATTATATAGGACTCCATCGCGCATCTTAATTATCCGCCGTTAATTAAGGTACAATAATTTATGGTCCACATGATAAGGAACCACAGTTTTTTTTTTAAGACAGGAACCACAGTTATGTATATTGGCCATACATATCTGGATGTGATATTTCCCAAAAGAAAAAAAAATAGCTACTTACTCCGGTTTTATAATTCTTTACGTCTTGAATAAAGTGAGGGCAAACTTTTTCTGACTATCAATAACTTCAAAATAATTTTATTTAAAAGAACTATAACAACATCAAACAACATATATAGATCTATATATGTCTTTTAAGTTACTAAAATAAAAGTAAACAAGTATTTATTTATTATATATATTATAATAAAAAATAAAATCAAAAATATATTTTGAAGTCCGTGTTATTTTCTAAAATGTTATTATATGTCACGCCCGGAAATTCACTAATAATTTCCGAACTTATTTGTGCATAAAATCCTCGTCCAGGAATCAGCCGAGGTACACAAACTGACAATTTAATATACAAATCCATCATAATAATAACGTTACACACTTACAAAAGAAAAGAAAACAGCAGCGGAATAACGGTCTAGCGATGGCTTCAGCTCCACTCCCACAGGCAGCTCAACAGGGGTATAAGCCAAACGTCTTCTCCTTCTGGATCCTTTTTCTTCAACTGAGGTTGATTGATTATTGCAAGAATGAGCATATGACATACTCAACAAGCCACACAGCAAATATGCAAGTGCACAAGGATACCAAAGGATGGCATAATATAGGCTCATTTGCAAAAGCAGCATTTAGCAAAACATTTAAGAGAAGTAAAACAGTGGAGTAATTAATCAGAAATTTTAATCAACACTGAACAGCACACCCATGCTGCACAGGCCCAACCATCCTGAACAACCATACCCAGCTGTACAGATCTAACTCCAAACCAGGAGCTAAACAAATTATTACCAGGTATAACATCAATAATTATTGTGAGAGGTGTGAGACTAATCACAAAAAACATTGCTCAACCCGCCCATAACCGCGGGCACGGCTATTCGAATAGTTTTACTCTGGCCAGAGGTGTACCGCTGTACCCACAAGACACAGCCTCAACATCATGTCTACCATGTGTCGCGATACTGGAAAGTACCCGAATAGAGGCTGTGACAATACCCTCTGCACAACACAACTCACCACAGTGCACCATTCCTGGATCATAATCACCCCCTTATAAAACAAGGCATGGACTCCCCAGCGACCCCCGTGGGCTTATCTCCGCCACTTCTCAGTCTGGTGCTCCGCAATGAACCATATTATACAAAAGGTAAAGCCGTTGCCCACGCTGGCTTGTGGTTGGCACGGTTAATGTTTCACAACAGTAGCTCGCGAACCGGTCCTTAATTGCCATGAGCACGACTCTCAAAACCATGTGCTCACAACCCACCATTATCAAGTTTTAGTTGGCAAGTAATTAATTAACCAATCACGATTGACCATCGTGAACTATCATTAAGCCATCATTAAATAATAGTGAGTCATAAGTTATCCCAATAGTGTGCTAATGTTTCTAAGCATGGCTAAGCAATCATATCTAATATCTACCTGAACCAATATATAAAGCTCAACTAGTCAAGTTATAATAACCCAAGGTATCAAGGAATAAAGGAATCAATGCAAACAGGCCATAACAAAGGAATAGATTCACACCACCCAGTGACATTCGAAAATAAATGCACAGTTGAAATAAATAGAGAATTTAAATATAGGATCAACATGCTCAAAGGATTGTGTTTAGGATCTGTGTG